CGACTTGAAAACCCAGTCTTGGTAGCTGTAACCTTCCCAGAACCAAAATCCTCAAACCACCATTTATAAACCAACGATTTTTCCAAAAAAAAAAATTCAATAATTTTTACAAACCACGTTTTTTTCAATTAATTTTTTTTCAAATATTTTTTTTAATTAATTTTTTTCAATTATAATATGTGTGATCCCATTGTCATAAATAATAAATATAAATATAAATATTTTAGCCTTGAACAACAATATTTTTTAGTTTATGTTTTAAGATTTTTTAAAACATTTTGTTCCAATTAAATTTTTTTTTTTTATAAATCCTAAACCCTAAAATAAAAAAATAAATAAATTTTAAGAATTAAACTTTAAACCCTAAAATAAAAAAAATAAATTTTATCCCTAAATAGTAAAATAAAAAAAAATTAAGAATTAAAATAAAAAGTAATCATTTTATATAGTTGATTATTATTTATTATTATAAATTATTATTATATATATTTAACATTAGTTTCAATTTTATGAAATAAAATTTATATATATATTAAATTATAAATATATATTAATATATATATATATATATATTGAGTGTGAGTGATGTTTGTGCGTGGGGTTGTTAGAGGGAGAGAGAGTGTTTGTGTGTGTTTGATGAATTGAAAGCTGAGGGTGGTTTTGTGTTGAAAACGTGTTTTCAAAACACGTTTCTACATTTTGGCTAAAATCGTGGTTTAGAACAGTGAGTTTAGAAGAAATTTTTTTTTGAATAAAAGCATGGTTTAGAATAGCGAGTTTAGAAGAAAAAAAAATTAATTAAAAGCGCATTTTGTAACCGTGATTTCTTAATCAAAAGTGCGTTTTGTAACCACGATTTTAAGATTTCCCAAATTTCACGCGAGACAGGCGCATATATGTTGAAATCATGGTTATGAACCACGATTTAGCCTATTTTGGGAATTCTTTCAAAACTAGGCTTAGTTTGGGAATTGATTTAGTATTTTGACTTATTTAGGGAAATGCCCCGAAATATGAAGAATAATCTTTCCCTTAACACTTCGTTTTGATGGAGGTGTTTGGTAAGAAAAGAAAAAAAATTGTGATAATAGGAAACTCCTTTCACTTGTTTTGATAGTTAAGTGAGAAATTGTGAGAAATATTAAGGATATCTCTGTAACTAATGTAAAGATTGTGCATATCTAAACTAGGTGATTGTGTATATCTAAACTAGGAAGGTCTTCTCTATCACAGGAATTTAGGCTTAGAAGTAGACGTGATTTCCTCATTGTATTTAGTATATAAAGATGTACTGTGTCATTAATAATACATACAAATTCTCTTCTCCTTTCATTACTTTTCTCATTCAATCTTCTTAAGAAGAAATGATGAGAGATGGCAAGAAAAAGATTCTCACCAAACCTAAGTTTTGGGGAAATTCTATTTCCACACACATAATTAGCTTAGAGCACATCTTTTCTCAATACACACACTGACTAATTTGATTATCAATTAATTTTCTCAATCCACACATATTATAATTACACCCCTCACTCATAACCATTGTACACATATCACTAACCCTCTTTTTACACACTTTTGATTGACCATACTTCCACATTGACTCAGCTACGCCTATGAAGACTTTGGTTTGAAGTGAAATTTCCTTCATTGAAGACTTGCATATATAGAAGACCTCCATTGAATCTCCATTGAAACCATTGTAAATCCTTCTTATTACATTTAACATTTTATTATTGCATTTATCATTTTTGGATCTATGTGCACTTTATTGGCATAAAACCTTCGATTCCGGTCATGTGAGTGATGGTTTGGGGCTTTTCGGCACTGGTTTTTCTGAAACAATAGAGTGAATTCGAAACGTAACTTTTGAATAAATTGTATTTTTTAGTTTCCAAAGTTGATGATTTTTTTTGGTTCTATAGTTCCAAAGTGATTCCATGTTTTCGACAGAATGGAACCAAAAAAAATATAGCAGAAATTTCATCACAGTGGCTAGAGTTTGTCAGGTGTTCACTATCTTACAGTGAAGGTTCTAGATGTTTATGGCTCCAAGATCCGACCCTGATGCTCACAAACACTCTTGTATGGAGGAAAAGAATCGTCACTATTACATTGCCCAAAAAAACAGTGAAGTAATAGAGAGCCTAAAAGGATGAAGATATGCATTGAGAATTTTTACATATAATGTTAGATGTCTATTATGGTCATTTTAATTTATGATATAATTGTTATTAAATTAAAAATTTATTAAGTTTGTCCCATAAGTTAATTAGGTATGTGAAAATAGAATTTCTTTAAGTTTTGTTTCTTACCAAAAGTGGTGAGATTTGGTGCAAAGGAAACTGGGTTTAATGAAAGTTTTTTAAAGTACCAAAATTACTTTTACAAAAAAATATAACTTGTTACTATGAAAGATTATTTTGATAAAATGAAATATAATACTTTTCTTTCTTTTCTCTTATTTATTATATCTAAACAATATTATGTGAGAAATCACATTATCTTATCTTTTATTCAAAAAATTATTAGTTGGTCTAGGGCACTACATGACTATACTACTCACCAATCACAATTCATCATGTCCCATAATATTTTCCCAATCATCTAATATAAATTCGCGAGTCTCACCACTCCACCAATCACAATATCGTTTGGACACCACAGTATCCCTAAATACCAACCAATAATTTCCCTTTTAATTTATCTAAACATAATAATAAGAAATTATAACTATTTTTTTTTTCCTCACGTATTTGGTAGCTTACTCCACGATCCAAATGGAGTGTAAAGGAGAACCTGTATTAATGGCAAACTTGAAGGGTGGCAATGAAATTTACCCAATAATTTTCATGTGGAGTTGACCATCCCACCCAATTATTAGTATTATTATTATTAGTTTGTTTTTTGGGGGGCTAAAATACAGCAAATTATAATCGTGAAGTGACAAAACTACAACAATCAGCATCGGCTACCTTTCCTGCATCTCAACTCCAAATCCTCCACCGAAGAGAGACAGAAATAGAAAGAGAAAGAGAAAGAGAAACACAGAGAGAGAGAAACAGAGAGCAATGGGTGCCTTTATCAATCTGGACGATTCTCCGATGTTCCAGAAGCAGGTGAATCCATTTACGTCTACATCAATATATATATTGATCCCTTTCCCTTTTCATTTCTGAATCTGAATATGCCCCAATAAAATCTGTCAACTAGCATGGCTTTGATTTGAAATTACGATTCTAAAATTATATATATGTATACAATGAAGATTTACGGCTTTTGTTATTGGGTGGGAGTGCCCAAATCATTCTTTATTGTTTTGATGTGTAATTTTTATTTTTATTTTTATTTTTTTTAAAAAGGGTGTACATTTCATTCATGCACCATGAAATGTGGTCCATGCACTACCTAGTTCAAAAAAAAAAAAAAGAAAAAGAAAAAGTGCATGATTTTTTTTTTGAAAATAAATTAGGGAAAAAAAAAAAAAAAACTAAAAACAGAATTGATTAATGATTGTTGGTTGGAAGTGATGTATGCCAGTCATATTCATCGTCCATGGAAGACATACGGAAAAAACTGTTTAATTTATGAACTTTTGAAGTTGCTGCTATAGGTACACTCACTATGTGTCTTTGACATGTTATTAAACACAATGCTTTCCACAACACCATAGAGATCACGATGTGTGACCTGGCAAGGGACATGTGTTCAGTCTCATTGGACTACATTGGGAAATAATACTTAGCAAATGTCTCTGCCTTACACTTTGGAAAGAGATGTGACGAGCAAGCTTCTCGGCATCCTGCTTGAGCTATAATTGTTAAGTCACCAATTTTTTCAAAAACCTAGACTAGGAAATGGGCCCACAATGTATATCAAGCTATCTAACACTTTCGCTCACTTGCAACCTTGTCTTGCACATGGAGAGACAAACAGAAGGAGAAGGAAACAACCAAACAGATAAGAAGAAACCAAATGGGAAAGAATACAAATTGCCAATGGGGAGGCTTGAACCTATGACCTTTCTCAACTTGAGTTCTGATACCATTTTAGGTCACCAATTTTTTCAAAAGCCTAAGTTGTTAGGAAATGAGCCCAACAATATATATCAATCTATCTAACACCCTCCCTCATGTGCAACCCTATCTTGCATCGTGAAGAGACAAATAGAGAAGCAAACAATCAAATAGAGAAGAAGAAACCAAATGGGGAAAGAATACGAAATGTCAATAGAGAGACTTGAACTCAAGATCTCTCTTAAGTCACCAATTTTTCCAAAAACCTAAGCTGCTAGGAAATTGGCTCAACAATGTATATTAAGCTATCTAATAATAATAAGTTTAGGTGATACCTTGTGTCTCTCCACCTAGGTCAACAGGTAGGTATGCCAAATGGTTTGACATGCATTGTAGGACTTTGGATTGGAGTCTTGTGGCTTAGTGGCTAGAGACAAAAAATCTGTTGTTGCCTAGGAATCATGTACACTTCAAATAGGTTGAAGTACTAGTATCTATAGATATGTATCCTAAATGTATCCTCAAAATTATTTAATTAATAAATTTTTTTGTTGTTATTTTTTGGATACATTTATGATACATGGGATACAAGAGTCGACATGAGCCTATAAAAATGAAAACTTACAGTGTTTGTCTTGAGGACAAAACATCCTCTTCTTTACATAGACGCCCTTGCTTTCTACCTTTTAATGTTCAAACAAAAATCAAATACCTCTTCTTTACATAGACGCCCTTGCTTTCTACCTTTTAATGTTCAAACAAAAATCAAATAAACATAAAACAGCAAAAATCAAAATGAGTTGTAGTAGTGGAGGCATGTATAATTGTCACATACTGTCTTCTTACTTGAAAGTTGTCTCTTCCGAGTTGGTAAGCCTATCACACCATTTTTGTGGTGCTTTTTTTTTTTTTTTTCACTCTCCGTACACAATTTAAATCATTTCAGCTCCACCAAATTATGAATTTAACTTTTTAATTAAGACATGTTGAAGAAATGTAGGACATGCTTTTTAAGGCTGTCTGCAGAGTGTCGTGTCCGACACGACATGCTTCCTCTATAGAAGTGTCCGTGCTTATTAGACCTTTACCATTTTGACCCCTGTATTGACAAACTTCTTGTAAACTTATTGCACTTTAAATCCATATGTAGGCAGCCATGTTTTGAGTATCTTAGTGCTAGTACGTTGTGTCTGACATGACATTCTTCCTCTATAGAAGTGTCTGTGCTTCTTAGACCTTTACCATTTTGACCCCTGTATTGACAAACTTGTTGTAAACTTATTGCACTTTAAATCCATATATAGGCAGCCATGTTTTGAGTATCTTAGTGCTAGTACGTTGTGTTCTAGAATCCTAAAACTTGCAACCCTAACATCTAGATCATTTCTGGTTTTTACGTTAGTATCCTTGTTTTTCCTGTTTTGGCAAGGCAATATCATGGTATAAACTTTGGGACAAGAAAAGTATCACACTTAAAAAGATCAATACAAGCATGAATTAGGTAATGTGGTCCCCTTCCGTGGTCAATGTAGATCAAGCTATATTTTAAAATTGAAATTGAAGTTGTGCATTTGATTTTTTTGATCATCTTCAGGTAAATGATTGTGAAACCAAATTTTCATTTAAATTAACATTATTAATTCACAACTTCAAATCTAGCATTTAAAAAAGTCTAAAGAGTAAAAGCTCCACTTCCTGTGTTCCCAATAAGCAGTACACTGCTTAGCTATTCACATTCCATGCATTACAGATATGCACATCCATGGTCTCACTGTTTTGATGTTATTGAACTATGTGCTTTATCTGTTCTGTTGACTTATTATTAATTGATTCATCCAAGGCTCCTCTGTTGGTATTTTAAAGAAAGCATGGTTACACTTGTTTTGTTCCTTACTTTCTGCTGTTGAACAGATATCGGGTATAGAACAGCAAACAGATGAGCTAAAAGATCGCTGTCATAGACTATACAAAGGATGCAAGAAATATATGTGAGAACTTCTTCATATTCTTCATGTAGTTAATGGTTTTATTTGATTATCCAGATTACCTTCTTGTTCCTTTGACTGTATTGTTCACAATGTTGCTGATGTGAGGCACACTCAAGTACAAAGGCCTCCTAGAGCCTAGGCGCAAAGCGCAAATCATAAGCGCTTGTCTGATTGAAGTAAAACACATTTTTTTCAAAACTAATATATATAATGACAGCAAGGTGCACTCAAGGACAAAGGCCTCCTAGAGCCTAGGCGCAAAGTGCAAATCATAAGTGTACATTTGATTGAAGTAAAACACACTTTTCAAAAATAATATATAATGACAAAGGATTCATAATATATAATAAAAAAGAAAAATAAGAATCAAATAGTTAAGAAATTGAACATGCCTATGTAAAATTTACACCTATAACCTTTGTACAATTGCATCTTTGTTATTTTTGGAAGTTTGCTTGCTAAATTAGGCAGTAAAGGGTTATGGAAGTGTGCTCACTAATATAGGTGCTTTGAAGAACATTACAAGCTGTATTTTGTCAGCTTCTGTTATGGTTTAAGGCTAATATATACATGGAATTTTTGGGACGTATAATGGGGTATCATAGGACATAGGATTAGCGCTTAATAGAATAGGGGAAAAGAAGGAATTCCGTTGCTGTTCTGGGTGTTGTGAGCAATACTCTAGAATAGTACTTTTTCTATTTTGAATATTTTTATGTGTGCCAAGGTTGAGGATTTTAAAGATGGGAAAAAATGACAAATCAAATTTGGCCAAGGCTATCATATGAACATATATGTATGTGTGTATGTATTTATATATATTTTGGTAGTTGGTGAGTGATGTGCGACCATAACTCAATAGAACTTGGATTTTTGATAAGAAAAGTAGAACTTTGACTTCCAAAACTCATCTAAATTCGACTAAAACATTTGTAAAGAGTAAACACCCAATAAGACTATTTATCAAAAAAAACACCCAATAAGACTACTTAACTCATATCATGGTCCGTGGGGGACCCTAAATTCCATGTTTAACAAATTTTAAACTTACTAAATCTTCGTTGCACGAAGCAGGGGCAGGGACGGGGACGGAGCGGAAGTTGGAGCGTAGGCGGAAGAGTGAGTGTATATAGAAGTTTCTTAAGTTGGGAGCGCCTATGGGAGCATCTATATATTTTATTTATTAAATATATGAAGATATTCTAAAAATTATTTTTTATTGCTTAGTTGTAATATATATATTAAAAAGTGAATAAATATTAGAGATTCATATCAACTACAAATTGTCTTTATTAAGTATAAATAACTATTATATAAAAATTCATCTAAATTCAACTAAAACATTTGTAAAGAGTAAACACCCAATAAGACTATTTATCAAAAAAAACACCCAATAAGACTACTCAACTCATATCATGGTCCGTGGGGGACCCTAAATTCCATGTTTAACAAATTTTAAACTTACTAAATCTTCGTTGCACGAAGCAGGGGCAGGGACGGGGACGGAGCGGAAGTTGGAGCGTAGGCGGAAGAGTGAGTGTATATAGAAGTTTCTTAAGTTGGGAGCGCCTATGGGAGCATCTATATATTTTATTTATTAAATATATGAAGATATTCTAAAAATTATTTTTTATTGCTTAGTTGTAATATATATATTAAAAAGTGAATAAATATTAGAGATTCATATCAATTACAAATTGTCTTTATTAAGTATAAATAACTATTATATAAATAGAAACTACTAGAATAAGTTTGAGTTGTTTTTCTTTTGTTTCTATGAGATTTATATGTTTGAGAGGTTTTTATCTCAGTTGGGAGCGAGTTTCTTTATCGACGGGGCAAGTTTCTTACAAGTTTCAATCTTACAAGTTCTTACTTTGAAGCTCTAAGTCATTCTCACCTTTTGAATCACCATTATTCCTGATTACATTTAATTAAATTGAACTTTAATTTACTCATCACAATCAGAATTCTTCGAATTAACTTGAAACTTGATTTATGAATCGATAAAATTTAGCCTCTTACTCCGTGAGTTCGACCCAAATTCAAGCCACTATTCCATTGAATTGAGGTATTAGTTTGGTTACTGATTTTAAATGATCACAACTTGAGGACAAGTTTCTTTTACAGGGGAATAAACATCTCAAGTGTGGAATTGAGTCCTATGCTTAAACATGTCTTGGTTTATTTGCTCAATTACACTTTCTTTACCTATTATGTACTGTTTTTAATTTAATATAACTATATAGTATGTTTCTATAAAAAATGTAATACAACAGTATTTCTTTTCTTTTTTCTCCCCCTTAATCCTGAATTTGTTGGTCATAAAATGTCATTTCTTTGTCCTTAATTTTTCTTTCTTTTAGATAATGTGAAACCATGCTCTGAGTGAAGTTGCTAATCCTTTCTCTCCTCTCACTCTACATAACAGGGAAACTCTGGGAGAAGCATGTAACGGAGATACTAGCTTTGCAGACTCTTTAGAAGCATTTGGTGGTGGTCAAGATGATCCTGTTAGCGTATCCATAGGAGGTTATTGAAATTTTCAGCACTGATAATCTGTTTTGCTTTGATATTAAGAAAATGATATAAAAGGAAAGGTGCTACTTATGGATGATGAAGCTCTCGTTGAGGTAAAAGGTGGTGGTATTATTTAAACAACAATTACTGATCCCAGTGAAACATAAAACACAATACATGCATGTGTTGATAATGGAATCAAGATCAAAGAGAAAGGAATTCTATTTAGAGAAATTCTCAAATTGGGATACAAGAGCAAAGCTCTGAAATTTGTAATTCAAAATATCAAAAGTTAGTTATGGAAGACCTAACCATCTATTTATAGATAAAGGTTAGTCTCACTAATAACCAACAATGAAACTAACCACGTCAGCACTCCTGCTCTTAAAAGAACTTGTCCTCAAGTTAGGACAACACAAACACAAGACTAGTCTACAACATTAGGCACCAAATGTTGGACATTAAAAGTGTTGGAGTTGTTCAAATGTGGAGGCAACCGACCGGACTTGATAAGCTGATGTAAGTAGATATTTGTAGTTTTGTTAGTTGTCTATATATTAGGGGTGTAATGATCTCCTATCTAACTTTTGATCAGTTGGTATTGAATACTTTTGAATTTTGCTTTTGAATTCTCAATTGGGAATTTTGTCTCTAGATTTCCTCTCTTTGATATTTGATTCCATCATTTTGGTATCAGAACAACAGGTGGGAGAACACTTTTGTATACTCTTCAACACTCTCATATTTTTGTACATGGTTTGCAAGTAGTTCAAAGCAATGTTTTGAAAACTGGACCAATGAGTGAACCGGAAAAGTGTCGGGTAGATGGGTCACTAGTTCAACTATGGATGAACCGGAATTAAACCGTGATGTCGTAAATATATTTGTAAAATAAGCTAAGTTGGAGAGAAAGAAAGTCTATATATACAAATAAAATAAAATGAAGAGACTAAAAAAACGTTATAATACAATTATTTTTCGAATAAAAAGCAATAGATGCATGAATGGTTTGGTGGTTAGCAAGCTACAATACTTTGTGAAAGGTTGGAGGTTCGAATCCTTCCACCATCATAATTTTTTAGAATGTTTCTATCAACCCCAACGGTTCATTAAAGCGAGTGGTTCAAGCGAGTCACCGGTTCAACTAGTAGTTCAAACGGGCCAAAGCGAGTTTATAAGACAAACGGTTATTTGGGTCCCAGACCAGAAATTGGGCCGGTCGACGGGTCAACCGGTCGGGTTTTCAAAAACTTTGAAAGGCAAGGCTCAGAAATATTCATTTGTCACTGAAAGGTATGGTAATCGTCACTAAATTCATTTAAGCAGCATTTTATAATTCATTACTCACCGAGCTTATATATAGGTGAAAAACAAACAAAATAAAAATACATTAAGAGATAGAAATAAAATCCTAAATAAATTAGACCTCCTAAACAAATATTAACTATTGGTTGCCTCGTCCTTCGCTTTATATACATGCAAACAATTTCTTCTTGATCTCCACTGATTTCCTAGTTGAGAATTTATCTCTGGAGACTAAAGTTTATAGTAATTAATCAAAGTCATTAGATTAGTTAATCCATGATTAACCCAAATTTATGATCACCCTTAAATTTAGTTCTTCTTGTTTAGCTTAATTGATCGCACGTAGCCTTAACAAATCATGATTAGTTTAACTACTCCAAGATTAAAATCTCTCAAAACCTTAGGATACCAAATGACATTAGATCAGTCCATTAAGTTCCTTGATTAGTAAATCTAAGATTACATAGTTGTTCAAATTCACCCTAATTACAAAGTTTCAGTGAAGCATGTGGACAAATCTACTTTAATTTTACTTTCGTACAACTCTTCAAATGAAGTCCATAGGCATAGTCAAGACCCTAGCATACCATGTTCAAACCACCTAGCACATATGCATAGCATAAATCATTCTCACATAGGGAAGACTATTGAATGCACATGCATAGTATGCAAAGTAATAACTAAGGTATTACAGAGTATGGATAGAGGAGTGAGAGTGGTTTGATGGTTCTTAGTAAATTCAATTATGCCCAAAGTCGACATTACATGCCAACCCTATGTGTGTGTGTGTGCGCGCGCGCGCGCACGTCGAAAGGAAACAAAATAAATAATTAAGAAATAGAAATGAAATCATAAATAAATTAAAAATTCTAAACAAATCTAAACTTTCGGTTGTCTTAGTTGCCACTTGCTTTGCTTAAATTATATGTGAAGCTTTCCTCCGTGATCTCTGTTAAGTCACCAATTGTCCCCAAACCTTAAGCTGGTAGGAAATAGGCTCAACAATGTATATCAAGCTATCTAACACCCTAAGCCTATCTTGCACGTGGAGATGCAAATAGAGAACCAATCACAAAGAGAAGCAAACAACCAAATAGAGAAGTAGAAACAAAACGGGGACTAAGTACCAAATGCCAACAAAGAGACTTGAACCCAAGACCTCTCTCAACTTGAGCTTTGATGCCACGTTAACAATATATATCAAGCTATCAAACAATCCCCATTCATTTGACCGATACTATATTCATCTATTTGCACACACAAATCTACTTGCATACATGTATATGTACATAGCAATATGAAGGGGAAAGAGAGGGGGATATAATGATGATAGAGATTTACTTAAGCCTGTGGGAAAAGGTGCTGCCATGGACCGCAAGGGAATTCTGAATCTCTGGCAATGTGATGGTGAGTTTTGTGGTGGGTTTGCTTGAAATCAACAAAGTTCAAGCAAATTGTGGAGTTGTTGGCACCTTTGAGAGAGATGCATAGATCAAGAGACAGTTTTGATAACTGAAATTCTTGTTTTGACTTGGAAGATCCAATGGCATAAAAGACTTTTAGAAGTAATACCTAAACGTTTACACATAAGATATGCATAATATATATATATATATATACGTACACTTCTATGCAGTGTGGATATATAAGAGGTTGGGCATGGGTTGGCTCAGGTTGCCCGATGCTCTTACCTAGGCCCTGCTCAAATTGAGTTCGGGCTGAAGAAGTTTAGACCAAGCCAGGCCTACAAATTGAAATGATTAGTCCAATGACCAAAAAAGGTTGAGCTGGTTTGGGTGCAACCCTACTTATCAATGATTTTCCTTTGTACAAATTCAACTATTTTAATTGTGAAGCCACTTCAGTGTCTTTTCTGTCATGTTCCTATTAGGTTTTGGCTGTGTTGTAGTAGTTTAAACTTTATTATTTGTCTCCCCGATTTAATGTTTGGGTTTTATTGTTGTCTCCTCATTCTTCTCTTCTTTGTCTTAAATCTGCTCTGGTTATATCTGAATCAATGAACCATTAAGAATTTCCAACATGAGTTGCCGAGTGCCTGTTTCTTTTGCCCAACGAACTCGCTTCCAAATTCTCTGTAAATTGAGCGAAGCTTCTTATGTCTGTAAGTTGTGCACAGCTTACAACCACCAGAGAGACACAGACAATTTATTTTGCTTCCTTTGCCCCAGGTCCAGTCATGTCCAAGTTCATTGCTGCATTTCGTGAGCTTGCTAGCTATAAGGAGCTTCTTCGTTCACAAGTAAGTAGTACATTACAGTTAGTATTCAGGATCTTAACGTATGATGATTGATTACAGGACATGATTTTATCTCTGATTTTTTTATGGCAGTTTGAATTCCAGAGAGAGCTATACTAGTTTCTTTAGTTAATATGTATCTTCAGTAGTTAGGTTATACCCCATTGCCTTGCTCAAAATGCATTTTTTTTTTAATAATGAAATTTCATGTTTATTTTGCCATACCAGTTGATTCTTCAAGTTGTTAACATGTGATTGTATTGCTATGCTATCCCTTTCATGCCAATTAATGGTTGACTGAAAAACATCAAATGGGTGAAAAGCTACACGAGGGAATACTGGTTGTGAGATAATGGCTGAACTAGTCCTAGGCTGGTCTGTAAGCCCGTTTGTTTGATCAGCAACAACAAAAAAAACTTTATTCATAACAAAAGCGGGAGTACAACAGGGAGGACTAGGGGTCCACCAACAAAAGAAAAAGTAAAAGGAGAGCCAAAATCACCTTACATACTGCTGTCCAATCTCTACAAATAAAAAACAAAGGAATCTTCTTAAAAGGAGGGGGCACTGACACCCAGAAATAAGAGAAATAAGAAACTCCATACCACAACCCTCCTAGATCATCAAATATCCTTGCATTTTGTTTCGTCCAAATCACAAAAAATGCACAAATAACACAGTTCTCATAGAGCACGAGCTTTAGTATTGGATCCAAATCCCTTGAAGTCACTGTGAAGCGTTTGAGGACAAGAGAAAGGAGCAACTCAATCCATACTTGAATATGAAATACGGTATGCTGTGAAAACAAAGGCACCAAGTACTGCAAAAATAAATTATCAATGCTCTCCTCATCCCTTCTACACATGATGCACCATTGAGGAAACAAAATGCAATTAGTTCTAATTTTTTTTTTTTTTTGGGATCAAATTATTAGTGTTGAGCTTTTTAGAAAATTGAAACCAAATACATTGAATATTTTTTTTTCATTAAAATAAAAATGAAACAATTTGGATTATCAAAAGAAAAAAAAAAAAAAAAAGATCAAAAAAAAAAAAAAAAAAGAAAAGAAAAAGACGACTTACAAGAAAGCATCCCAGAAGAATGAATACTCCAAACCCTCCTATCTCTCACATTCCTTCTCAAAGAAACATCAAGAATGGACAACAAAGATGCCAAATCATTGGCCACACAATCATTAAGATTTCTAAAGAAATTAAAGTTTCAAGAGATTGGAGCCAAATGAGAAGAAACCACTGCTGTAATAGAAAAATTATGATTTCTTGATTGATGATGCAAATGAGTAAAGAGAAGACAAAAATAATTCTCTCCTTTCCATGCGTCTTCCCATAAACAAATATTCTCCTCGTTACCCACATTGAAGTGAACAAGTAGCACGGAATGATAAATTCCTTAAATGCATTTCCATGGAGCTACAGAACTCTCCCAACTAACCACTCGAGAATCCCAACCATTAGGCTGTAACCCATATTTTATTTTGACCCACATTTTTTTTTGATTGACTACAAAATAAAATATTATCAATAAAACAAGAAAGAAAGTTCAAAACATACAAAAAGTAAAGCTAACTTCTTAGCCTTAATGTTCCAACAGCGAGCCCTGAAGAGAAATTATCTCCCAACTAATCAAATGATCTTTCTTCCTTACTCTCTTCTTTACCACAAAAAATCCCTCATTAACTTTTCACGTATATTTGTCAGTCCAATTTGGATTCTAAACAAAGACAAAAAATAAACAGGGACACTAGACATTACAGATTAAACTAAAATGAACCTGCTTTTTGTGAAAATCAATGCTCTGTTCCACTCATCCAAATGCTTCACTATTTTTTGAATGATTGAATCCGGAAAATGTATAGATCTGGGATTACCACCCAGAAGGTAAACCTGGATATCTAATAGGCAAAGACTCAATAGGGCACCTTAAAATTTCTTGTAAACATTGCATCATATCAAGAGGAACATTAATACCAACTAGAGAGCTTTTATTCATTGTCATCTTAAGCCCTGAAACCATCTTAATGATTCTCGTGGAGAAAAAAACAGTACCATCTTCAAACTATAAATGAGAAATGACATCCCTCCCAGTTACAAATTTCCTTCCACCAAACCTGACTCCTTAACCTTATCCACTATCTTTCCCAAAACAACCAGCTACGTAAACTAAAAGGGGATAGAGGATCACTCTACCTAAAACTTTAAGTAGTTCTGAAGATTTTTCTGGCTTATCATTAACAATAATCAAGAGGTTAGAAGAAGAAAAACAATCCAAAATCTATTTTCTCCATTTATCCTTTTGCTTGCAAAATAAAATCCAAAGAATTCCATTCCATATGATCATATGCCTTCTCAAAGTTCACTTCAAAGATATTTCCCTTCTTATTAGAGAGCAAGCTACATCCAAAATCTAGCGTACTTCAACGAAAGGCTTCTGATTAGGGGATATGGTATACCCTAAGACAATCTTCAACCTCTTTGATATAACCTTAGGCATCATATTATTCAAATAGGTGACTAAATTGATTGGTCTAAATTCACCTATCCTCACAAAATTTTCCTTCTTGGGAATTAAACAAATAAAAGATGCATTTTTACAAGCAGTGATAATTCTTTTTTAAAAGTATTTTGCAAAAACTCTCATCAAATCTTAACAATTTCTCAATAATCCTAAAAGACAGCCAAAGAAAACCTATTGGGCCACGATGCCTTATCCCCTATGTTATATAGACTCTTCAAAATAAAGCAAATACCCGTGTCGGACACTGACACTTGGACAAGGGTGTGGAATTTGTTTGAGACTTTCCATCGGATACTTCTTATATATTTGCATTTAACACTATCATTATATGTATATATTCTTGTATATTCTTATAAAATGAATAAAATGTTTTTTGACACTACATGTTACATGCAACACCATTTTATCTCATATAATAGATCAAAAATATAAAATAATTCCTTTTTTGCCGAGTCTGCCTACCCGTAATTTAAGGTTTGATAGGTCTTATCTCTAGATACACACCTACACTCGACAGCTGTACCTGAGTCCATGTAACATAGCTTATCCCCTTACAATAAAAAAATTCACTTCTAATTTCCTCATTAAAGGGTCTCTCCAAACTTCTAGCCTTGCAATCATCAATTAGAAACAACTCCAATCATTCAATTCCAAGCCTATTAATTCAATTCAAAGATTATAACCTGAATTATAACAAAAGGTGTCCCCAAGAATTTGATCTTCTCTATCCAAAATAATATCCCAAGTCAACTTCAATCCTTTACATTGTGTTTGGATAGGGATTTGGAAAAGGAAAAGGAAATGGTGAAAAAATTTAACTTATATTTCATTCACATTTCCTTCACCTTTTCCCTTTCTCTTACTCTTTCCAAATCTCTACCCAAATTAGTGATCCAAACACAACCTTAATGAATTTCTTTTTCCTTTTCCCATTTCTCATTTGCCACCTTATGACACAGTTTTGATCCTTCAACCATTTAATCTTTTCTTTTTGGTTCCACTCTACTTGTTCCCTAAGCACTAGTTTCTCATACTTAGCTCTCAATTCAACCCTATTCCTCATTAATTCATCAGGAGAACCCCTTTTCTCTAAGCCATCCAACTCATCAACCATCTTAGAAATTTCATTTTTAACCTCGTTTAAATGCCCAAACACCTCCATATTTTACATTTTTGATGTATCCTTAATCATTTCAAGTTTCCCACCCATAAATTCTACAATTGCTCCACAACTCATAACAACTTTCTTAAATAGATGATGCTCTAACCACAAAAGGAGCAAGGTGAATAATCAAAGAAGCCGGGAGATGGAAGAAGCAAATGGAAGTTGAAGAAGCCAAAATAGACACAAAATCAATAGAAAGTAGGAATAAATTAAGGTAATGAAAATAATTCTAGAAAGAAGACGAAGTTGAAAGAATTCAAGGAAGAAGACGAACCTTTATGGAAGATGCCCATATCTGTAAGCCCTAAAGATTGATTTTATTTTATTTTTTCCTACTATGAATAAGGATGTTATACTAATATGAAACCATTACTAAAACATTTATGATTTTTTGCTTATGTATTTCTTTACAAGAAAGCATTGAAGCAAGATCCTCTGCTCTCTATTGATTTCCAAAGAGAAATTAGTGGCAGGTTTTTTGATTGTCAAGAGTTGATATGACCATGGTTGTTTGTATCTTTCAATTCATACAATTCAATACGTGTTTCACATATAGTGATTTACTATTTTAGCAAGATGATTCATGATTCAATTCGTAATTTAATTTGACAACAATGGATATGACCTAAGAAGCACAGACACTTCTACGGAGGAAGCGTGTCATATCTGACACCAACACTCTTTGGACACTCTTAAAAGCGTGTCTTACACTTCTTCAATGTGTCTTAATTAAAAACTCAAATTCATAATTTTGAGCACTTTACCGTCACTTCGTGGGCACTTTGGTGATACTACTTGAACCATCCAAACACATCCTATGTGATGAATCCCTTCATAATACAATGTTTTGCATTCTTCATAACACAGTTTATGCTCTCTAAATAGGGTTTGAAACATTTATTAGATGAATACATTGTGTGTATTACAATGTTCTATACTTGTTTTGCATTTTTTAGAATGTAATTGTTATGTTAATGATATCTTGACATTTAAGTTATGAAATATATAGCTTTTTAATGTCATAGCTGTTATGTTGCATACTTTTCATTATCTTTTTTGGATAAATTATTCATACATATAATATATAATTAGTTTGTAAAATTTTGCAACTTTTAGAAAATTTTAACCCGTCACAAGCGTGTCGTGTCCTGCATTTTTAAAAAATTGACATGTCATGTGTCTATGTTTATGCTACTTGGGATATGACAAAAGACACATCACACATTTTACAGTGGGGACCCTGGTATCCTTTCCCCTAATTGTGAAACTTTTTAAGATGTTTAATATTATGAATCTGAGATATGATAAATCTTGTTTGCAGGTAGAGCATGTTTTGATTGATCGTCTGTCACAGTTTTTATCTGTTGATGTGCAAGATGCAAAGGTACTTACTCCATTGCTTTATTTTGTTGTGTAAAAATAATCTCTTTCAAAAATGGTTATTGGTGAACTTCAGAAACTGAATAGGGAAATTCCTTTGTTAATCGATTAGTCCTTAAATGCAAAGTAAAAAAATGAAAAAAAAAAAATTCTTTTTAGTATTGAAAAATGTGCACTCTAGATTTCATCATTTATTAGATGCAAAAGAATATGTATGATTTTGCCCATAAAATATATCAACCATTTCATGGTTTCTGACATTTTGAAATTCATTCCAAAACCAAACTTAGAAAATACAATAAAATTTAAATTTGTTCATAAAAGTAGTTGCTTGTAATTATAATTCCTAGTTTCTCTCTCTTTCCTTGAAAAATTTTCATCCTAATCAAAGGCATGCAAGAAAATATATTTTCTTTCACTTCACTTTTTACCACTTTCACTTTTTACCAACTATTTCTTTCTATCAAATGAATCCTTGGGGTTGAAAACAGTAGAATGTTTGGTTGCAGTGTATGTGATGCTGGAAATCGCTGGAATGATGAACTAAGGACTTGCCCGCATGAGGGCTAAGCAAATCACACAAACACAATGGCAATGTCTCCAAAACTAATCTGTATTGAATAGAATATAAAATAGAATAATTACAAAGATTATAGGCTGTTGTGGTTCTCCTATTACTACAATGAGTTTTGACTCACAAATAAGAAAACTAGTAAATCTTTATACTAAGAATATTTTGAATCTAATAAAAAACCCTATAAAAGGCCAAAAATATAAATTGGCCCATATTACTACCCATGGACCGAAGCTACATGTCAAATTGAAAATTACCAAAATACTTGTAACTCCTTAAATAACTATAAACATAAAAAAAAAAGCAAGCAGCATACTCATTGTAAATAAATCCCCCAAACACCACCAGTCTCTCTCTTCTTTGGACTAAAAAAGGCTTCTTATCGTTAGACCCATGGTTTTCGTTTTAGGCTTCCAAAGTCTGTTATACTTATTTAGCCATTCAATAGATGTTGCATTGGTTTGAAATGTAGGATAAATTGTGATATTAATAAGACTAACAATATGAAATAAAATTATTAGAATAACTAGCAGAGAGGAAGAAAGGGAAAGGGAAAGGGAAAGGGAAAGGGAAAGGAAAAACACAAACAATATTAGAGAAAGCTCTAGAGCTGCATCTTCTGGATTGAATGTCCACCAACTCCCAGAACGAGGAATAAATCTGTTACACCCTGAAATCTTAGGGTTTATAAAATAATTTTAAGAAAGATACAGTAATTTTTGGTAAAACAAAATTTTTCTTTATAAATGTTTCAAAATAATGATGTCTAAACATGCCCATGAGGTACATTAAAGCATCTACACTATACCAAATAGTACTATAATCTCAAAAATAAACTTTACAGCTTAAAAAGTAACGTCTCAAAAATGAAAAATGGTAATACTCTGCTCTAATGCACTTTTGTCATCCATCTCAAACTCTACACTCAACCCAGCTTTGACTATTTTGGCAATGCCTATTAGGGTGTGAGCTTATGCCTAGTACTCTGGAAACACCCAAGTGTAGTGCCATACTATACATGGTGCAGTGCACACGAAGAAGATAACCACATAACAGCAATGCTAACAACGCATCATTTGACAATCCAACAGTATGCCAAGTATGCATAACTGAGCATCCACATCACGTTCAATGCATACAATTCATTAGTTATATTTGTGTCAATTGCATAAACAACATAATAAACTGGATATAGGTAGACAATCAATAATGTATCCACAGTGCATAGTGAATGCATGCACGTGAATAAGACTGATTTTGTTTCAACTCAATCATTTTAACTTTCTTTCATTTATCTCTTTTTTAATCTCGTGGTTCCTTCTTTTAAATTTTCAACATACTTTTTCCTTCTATACTTGGTCAAGTTACCTTGTTATTATGTCCAAATATTGCCCTTTTATCCATATTCAACCAGTCTATGCCACAAACCCACATCTAGTGATGTTTCATATGACTTCAAAATTTGGGGAAATCACAATGATTTTCAGAGCTTGACTCATTGTGCCATCTATTGACCCTAGTTTTTATGCTTTCAACCACAGTATGAGTAAATATATTCTGATAGCTCATGTTATATCTCAAAACAACGTTAACATCATTGTTAGAATAATGTAAGTACAGTGAGAATATATAGATCCTCAGATTGTTGGGTGTGTCTTGTGTTCTGTGGGATTCATACAGTTATTGGTATTTTACATGTATTTGGATTAGTAGTGTTCGACATTCACCAGGAATCTAATATATATAGGTTTTATTAATTGTATGGGATTAGGGTTTCTATGATTTACCTATAAATAGGGACCTTGTAGGAATTTTAGAGGTGTGAGATTGAGAGGGTTGTAGAGATGTAGGGAGATGGAAAAATACTGGCGGCACCAGCTGTGAGCGCGGAAGGAGGGTGCAGCTTCAGGGCTCAGTTACTCTTGGGCGGGGAGCTGGAATTGTTACAAGGGATTGGGTATTTGGGTCGGGTTTTGGGATATTTTTGGTCTCATGTTTGAATTTTCTAAAGAATATGGTGGAGAATCTTTCTAGCCTGTGGATGAAGACAAGTTTGTGTCGAACCACGTAAATTGTTGGTGTGATTGTATTTTCCTCTTCGGTGTGTGCATGGATGTACTTCTGTTTGTGTTCAGGGATGTAGAATAAATCCCAACACAGATGACATGAATCTCCAGAAACTAAAGTTTACACGAGATTCAATGCAATTCCAAAACAATAATTAATACAATTTCATCGAGAACTAAAGAAGATCCATCAATCAACTTAAATATATTTCTGCGCATATCAAGTTATTCCACTCACAGTAATCACCGGCCAAAATTAATAAACATAATGAAATTTTGTCTACATCGGTCTGCCATAACCATACAGTCTTCTACAACGGTCTGATACGACCATACAGTGTCTCCTATCCTCTTTTATTTTATGTATTCGTCTATTTTCTTGTCTTGTTAGTCTCTCCAAACTCAAGTTGGTTAGTTCCTATCCCCCTTGAGTTTGCGGGGGCTGTTAAAATGTACCAAAACCTCCCACTACACCACTACCACCTCACCTACTCCTACTCCTTACCTACTACACACTCACCCTCTTCTATATATAGGAATCATGAATCATTGTAATAAATAACAACATATCAATCAATAATAATACATACAATTTATTCTCTCTCTTTCTCTATACATTATTTCTTACAAATACTAAAACCAATTCCAAATAAAATACTGTAACATCATGAATGAATTCATGAACATATCTAAGTCCTTGCATTTCCTTACATGTTACTAATGTTAGCCTTTTGAATTTTTAATTTGCTTTAGCGAAGAAGTAGGCATTGAAGATTTTCTTTCTATTGTTCTTTTCTTTCATCTCAAACATGTGATGGTAACTTGGACCTGGGATGTACTTTGTCAAAGGCTTTCCAGGCAGTGACTTTACTCAGTTAAATATTTCTCCTAAATATGTTCCGTCATAATGTCAAGATTATTCACCAAGAATTAATACCTTTTGTCATTGCATTTAAAGTAGGAAAAAACAAATCTTTCTATTCATGCTAGGAAGCAACATCAACAAAGGTAAATCTTTTACGAACAACATAATATCACAACAGAGATACATAAATAAACAGAAAATGTGAAAAAGTGGGTGTGTTTTTTTTTTTTTTTTTTTAAACCAATGTTCACAATAAAACCAATCAAACCGCATGAGAATAAATATATATATATACATGATATAAATAAACCCTCAATTATTGATGAGTGTTAAATTATGGCTTGGTTTGTTATGTCCCAAAATATTTGACATGTCGCTATTTTATTATCTACAATTAACTTCCAGTCTTTTGAAGCTTCACTTTTACAGGCTATGGAAACAGTTGTTGAAATAAGCTTGAGTTTGAGTTTCTTGCCCTTTTCTTATTTTTTGCCCCTTGTAAAAATGATTTTTGAAAGGGAAAGGGAAAGGGAAAGGGAACAAATCAATGCATTTTTGGTTTCTCTTTCTCCTAAGCAAGTGCTTAGTCCCTTGATGAATACATTGTATATTTGTACTCTTTTCACCTTGTGTATATGTTGTCCTTTTTTTACTATAGGTCTCCCGCCAACGATTTGATAAAGCGATACATGCTTATGATCAGGTACTTGAGATCTAACCAAAAATGATTTATCTGATTATTTACATGTGATTGTTCTATTATTTAATTAAAAAGTTTTGCTAAGATAATAGTTATGATTTTTGAAAGTTTTATCTTCTCTTGTAGCTTTCTTGAATGTTTTAGGAATTTAGTTGGAGGCTATGGAATTAAGGTCGGGAATAGGGCTATTTTTAACCCGCAGACATGTCACATTACATGTGGAATGCATCTCAAAGCTAACCTGATCACAAAAGAACACTGCTATTTTAAAGAATGTATTTATTTATGCAATCTAGGTACGAATTATGGTCATCTTGGCAACAGGAGCAAAAGTTTTCTCATAATCAAGACCATATTCTTGTGCAAAACCTATAGCAACCAAGCAAGCTTTATATCTTTCTGCAGAACGCTCAGCCTTAAAACCTATCAACAACCAATGTATCATATGGAATTGTTTTCTTGTTTGTGATTGTTTTTGTACCACCAAACACATTTTTCAAGAAGCATTGATAGGAATACCATATATGATAATGATGATATTAATATTTTAGGCAAATACCCATTCTATTCCTTTTTTTTTTTTGGGTTATATTTGTTATATATGTTATTGATTTTTCATATATATATATATTGTTCCCCAAAAAAGACGAAGGGCCTAAATGTGAAGTAGTTCGTTTGATGAGGCTTTGTTTTTTAATTATTACTCTACATCTTTCCAATTTAGAGGACATTTTCTTTTGTATCTATACACGCACATATAGCGCACAAAGGCACAAATGAGAGAGAGGGAGGGGGTTTTATGTGATATTTTGTAAACCCACCCTTGGGTTAGATACTTCCTATGCCTAGGGGATCATTTAAGGTTTGCTGCATGTTCGATAACATATTAAAACAAAATTATAGTTAATCTGATAAGAAACTGAAAATATCTTTTGAAGAAATGAAAGAAAAAGTACAAGTGATGTATTCTTTAGAGAAACGAAAAATAAAAGGTCAGCTAATAGTAATACAATCCTAGAGTTAGATATTCAATGTATAGACAAAACAAATGCCGCCCAAATAACTATCTGACTTGAGTGTAAAGTGGCTTCGAATATGAATTGATGAAGCTGCTTGTTTAGTTGAACTTTCCAATCTTTATTGGTAAGGATGGGTTTTGCATGAAGGAGAACTTGGACGGGAAGCTTTTTTACTCAATTTTTTTTAAAAAAAAAAAAAATAGTTTATCAGCTATATGCTATAAGATGGTTATTTGGTAGAATTATTTTACTTTTTTACTATGCTAGTTTATTTTTATTTTATAAATACATAGTATTATTGTTACAGATTGTTTCTAAAATATTGTTTTTGGGTTTTGATATGATTCCTATTTTTTTCCCTCCATCATTGTTACAAAGGATTGAAGCATTATTAGTAATAGAGCAAAGATACTCACTGGGGTTCAATCTTCTCTTTGTCGATGATATTTTTTTCATCAATAACAAAAGAATATTATTAAACATAAAATAGAAAGTACAAAGAGAGAAAGATTATTATTTTTTTAAATATATATTATTATTAATGTTCTTTTTGGGTTTTGATATGATTCCTATTCTTTTCCTTCCATCATTGCTACAAAGGCTTGAAGCATATTAGTAATAGAGCAATGATACTTACTGGGGTCCTATCTTCTCTTTGTTGATTATACATTTTTTTTTATCAATAACAAAAGAATATTATTAGACATAAAATAGTAAGTACAAAGAGAGAAAGATTTTTAAAAGAAAGAGGACAAGGTATCCTCCAAAGATGGGAAGGAAAAAAGAAAAACTGAATTACAACTAACAAATTTTCCTCCAATCCCTCTAATAAGAAACAAAGGAATTTTTTTAAAAGGAGTTGAGATGACACCCAAGAAAGTCAAATGACACAACCTATCCTGTACACCTCTGCATTATCTGATTTATCATAAAAAAATTCATGCATTTCTTTCACGCCACAAAACCCACAACACCATACAAATTGCACAACTTCACAGAGCTCTAGATTTCTTATTTGAGCCAAAGCCACTGAAATCAATAGTGAAAACCTTATTAATGGATGGAATCATCCAATGAACCTTTGCCAACTGAAGTAACATTGACCACAAACTCATCGTCACCGAACAATGCAAAGAAAGTTGGTCAAAACTCTCCTCACCCCTTCTGCACATGAGACACACTATGGAAACATACCAATTAGGCCTCCTCCGAACCATATCATTGGTATTGAGTTTCTTGTCGTTCCCTGCCTATTCGCTTCTCATGTAGTATCTAAGTAGACTTTTTATTAGTTCACACAACTATCATACTTATGGGATAGTCATGCCAATCATGAAGTGTCATATTGCTTATATTGCATGCTTGGAGTCTATTTCTGGCTGTGAAGTCCGCCTTGACCCCCTTTATGTGCCATTTTGGCCATCATATTCTGTAACTATGGACAACATATGCAAAGATGGGTGGTGGAATACAAAGAAATGGGACAAAATTTGAGACAACTAGAGAATAAATAATATGACTTGCTAACAAGGTGGGCTTAAGCTTCTTTTAATAACTTGTTCATAATTTTAACCTTTGACGTAAAGTTATTGTATTATTAAACAGGATTTTTTGTCCTTGGGTATTTTCGGCTGGGAATTGATGCCTTGTTTTTGTTCTATCATGTTATTTTAGTACTCTTATTGTGAGCTTCAACGTATTTATTGTCATTAATCATGGTCAGGCCCGGGATAAGTGTTCTTCTTTGAAGAAGAGTACACGGGATGATGTTGTTGCTGATTTGGAAGAGGTATATTCAAACCAGACGTTCTATTTTCTTCTATTAGTGTCATTATGATGTGTATTTGTCATTATCATTGTTGTCATTATTATTATCATCATTGTTTTGTTGTCTTAATATTCTTGCCATTTGAATCTCTAATTTTTATATATAAAATACATAGCAACCAATACTTTATTATTTATTTTATTTTTATTATTTCTGTTGTGAGGAATCCCCATGTCTAGGATTACCTATGGATCATTAAAAAAATGAAATAAGAAACCCTAGGGGGATGCAAAATTGTTCTCCAAGAAAATGATCTTGAAAAGAGAGATAAGTACAAACCAAATTATATATAGTACGGCCAAAATATCTCTCTTTAATCCTTGTGACACCTAATACAAGCAAAAGGGAGAGATATTATGTTCAATGATAAGATTCTCTCGTATGTTAATTTGTAGGCTTGTATTGCAAATCTCATATAAGCGAAATTCATGCCTACTTTGTTGCATTTTCTGAATGTATTGTAGAATGTAATATCCAACTTAACTTATCTATCTATCTATATATAATATGTATCCTACATAAGCTTTTCAATTTTCTTAGGTTTGCTATAATAGAATAATGCATCTCTTATGAGTTCGATCTTTTTCACTTACTTTTCCCTATTGTTAATACCAATTGGTCTTTTCTTCTATTGCATAATGTGTTTGTTTGAATTGGCATTGTTGCAATAGCCATTGGTTCTGATGCAATCAAATCTAGAAATTCAATATATTAAAGAGAGAAAACCCTAAATCTTAGGTACAAAGAGGATGATCTAAGAAAATAGAATGTCTAATCATCCAAAACTGATTATTAGAAGCCTAAACACTTATTTATATGCATAGGACAACTCATGCAAAATAAGTACAACACAAAACAAGTACAACTAAATAGTAACTAACTCAATTAAAGTTTGAACTACATCAGGATTCCCCCTTTTAAAAGAACTTGTCCTCAGGTTGGAACAGCCACAAAAGCACAAAAATCAGCCACAAAAATAAGGTAAAATGTGCTGCACATTGAAGATATTAGAGATATTCAAATGTGGAGCCAACTGGGCTTGTGAGCATGAGATTATTAATCCCCCAGGGGATTAAATGGGGTACATGTAATACCACCTACCCCACGGTATTACTTATCCCATGACATGGAACTTTTCTCCTTCTCCATCCAACAGTCAGAAATGATCACTCCCCCTTTGTCACGTCCCCAACCCGCCCCTAAAGGTTAGAAAGGTAATCGGCTAGTAATCTTAGATTACTGAAGGCCTATCTTGACAAAATACAAAATATTTTATAGAATAATATGGGGCCATAAGTGGAATTTTTTATTTTATTTTTATTTTTTACAACAACCAATCATAAAATAACCCTGTCCATTGAGCAGTGCGTAAATGACATGGAAGTGTCACATACATATTATTACTTCACCCACATAATAAATAGAATACAAGCATTCACAAGACACAATCTCAATCACTTGACTTTTCAAAACTGTCCCAAAGGTCTTCAAATGCAAAATCTAAGGATGCTCTCCATGTCGCTCACCTACATATACATAGGGAAAGGGGGGGTGTTTAGGCCCAATGAATAGTAGCACAGTAAAGTGGTAAATGAATGAACACCAACAAGCTTTTATAAAACAAAGCATAAATCATAGCTTGAACTTAGCTTTAACTTCAGCAAAACATTGCATAACTTGACTTGAAAACATTTATATAATGATGAGCATTCCAAGGATTAACAAGGTATTATTGGTATTAGAGCCCCAATAATTGGCCTCACCTGAAGGTGGCAAGTACGTACCCGCATGTGGTAAACATGATTGGATATTCCCCCAATTTTGGGACATGATCCATAAATGCCATCTAGGTACATGATAAAAAGTATATGATGTTCATTCATAGTAAATCATAACATTACTTTCATAAATATACATAGTTTTGCATTTCAAATCATGGCTTTAATAAACATAACTTTACTATGGGCTTGGTCCCCATAATGCTTTCCGTTGGTCCGACCTACATGATGCATATACACAAACATTGGTAACAAATTACAATTAATTGAACTTGCTTTTCCTTTTTAATTAATTTAATTAAATTCTTACTTTATTTTCCTAATCAATTAACTTATTGTTAATTTCTAACTTATTTAACTTTTAATTTGATTTAATTTATGCCTAAAGATACTCGGAAACAAATGAGAAAGAAAATATTAACAAAAATTAGTTTTCAAAATTGGCTGATACAGGCAGTCCGCTCGAGCGGTGCTTTCACTGCTCGAGTGGTGAACGCGAGGCTACAGAAGTTTGGGTCTGCAAAATAGATACTGGGTTCCAATCATCTTCACTCGAGCGGTTTGCAACTTTTCTGTTCAAAAATTCTGAAAATTCAACTTCCCAAAACTCAATTCCATAGCTAGGGTTCATACAAGACTTCATCCAAAACATGCAATTCCATTAATTAAACATAAGAACATGACATATTTCCAATTCTTTTGCATCAAAACCCCTTTAATTTCAAGATTAAAGCCAAAATCTTCATGAACTTATTGTTTTGAAAACCTATCTTCCTTTTTCTTTCAATCATAAAATTAAAGTTCCAAAATTTGTAAAAATAATGAGGTATTTAAAGTTTGAGTTCAGAGTCATAAAAAATAATCAAAATCAAACTCAAATGATTAATTTGTAAACCAATTTCTTCGTAGTTAAATTAATTCAATTTTCTTTGTTCTTTTCTAATTTCTTTCTATTTTGATGAAATTGAACCTAATTGCTTCTTAATTTTGGTTGTTAAGTAATTAATCTACAAGATTTAAGTTTCTTCAATTTGATGAATTCCTTCACAAATTCTTGAGCCTTCTCTCTATTTCTTCACTTTCCCTAAATCCTCTTTTTTTTTTTTTTTTTTTTTGTGAACTCTCTTCAAAATTCCTCCAGCAAGATAACTCAACTCTCTTTTTCAACTTCTTGAAGTCTCCAGCAAAGCATGTAGTTGAGCTCTGTTTCTCTCTCTCTCTCTTTTCAGCAAAAGAAAACAACAAAGTAAGAGATAAACACACACACCCTCTTCTATCAAACTCTCTAGAATGTACTCAACTCCTCCCAAATATACACATGTTCTGATTAGTTTGAGTAGAATTAGGTTAGTTGCTAATTACATATTAATTTAATTGGACACTACTTAATCTTAGTTAATTATAGTTAACACTTGATTTAATTAATCCAATTAGACCTAATTAAGTCTTGATTTAATCATTCCAAATCTATACAAATCTCACTTAATCCTAATTGATTATGATTACCATATAACTTAAGTAATATGATTAATTTCAATTGAAGCTTAATTTAATTATTCCTAATTTTACTAATTTGAATCAAATTTTTAATTAAACTCTCAGGAGATTCTACATGTTAAACTGATTCAATTAAGCTCGTCACTTATGGTTTCTTAATTCATCTCAGTGTTCAATTTCTGATTCAAAATAATAATCCTACACATGAAATTGAATTTATTTAACTTCTTTATCTTTCATTTAATTGACTCAAGTTACATTAACATACTAATCATCCCTCAGCTTAATTAATCACTAATTAATCTTAATTAATTATGTATAATTCTCATGTTAATTTATCTATTGAAATTTGAATCTCAATTAAGTCTGAATTTATTTTAATCTCACTTAAATTTAATTAAGCTCCTAAAAGTTTTACACATTAAACTAAAACTTATTAAACTTCTTACTTATGGTTTCTGAATCAGATAATCATTCAATTCTTGATTCAAAACAAATCTCTTCTAATTTAATTAAATTCATTAACTCACTAGTCTTGATTTAGTTTAATTAATCAGATTCAATTTTTAAATCTTCATTACCTATTTACTTCCAATTATTAAATTAGACTCGCCTATTTCCGTTAATCTGATTGGTTTTTCAACGAATTCTCTAAAATATTCTAAACATCAAATTAAGCTATCAAACTCTTCAATTAAAGTTTCTAAGATGCTCAAATATTTCAATTTCAAGTTTAAAGTTATCCTCTAGCTCAATTTTATTCATTAAAATTTAATACAAATGCTTTCCTTAAAATTGATCCAATTTGTTGAAGTCTCATAATTTTAATCACATATGCTTCTTTTAAATTCTTTACCATTATATCTATATTCGAACCTTCCATCTTAATAATTCACATTTCCATTTCTAGAATATTATATAATTATTAAATTATAATTTACCATTTCCATCTTAATAATTTCCTTTTAAATTCACATTTCCATTTCCATCTTAATAATTTACCATTTATTTATTTATGTCATGTAATACTATACTTGGTGTGGTATATATTTACTTTGACAACTTAGAAGGCGATTGCTTTTTAACTTTTACCAATTGACAAGGAAGCTCATATGGTCAAAACTTATTATCTATTCTCTTTCGCAACCATTTAGTTATCAATTTTATGTTATAAAATAACTAATTTGGTTTAAAGCATTCAAATATAGATAATAGTATATTTTTCTTAAGTAGTATTATTTGGGTTGTTGTACCCTTATCCCATCCTTTACCCCACTCTAACCAGACATAGTACAACTAATCTTATGGTATATCTAATCTCATCCATTATCCCATAATATTACTTATTATCCCTGCTAATCCCAATCACGATCTCATGATATCAATCCCCCCCTTAAATTAATCCGAAAATCAAATGTGACCTATATGGTATAAAGACGTTTTCTGGTGCATCTATCCCCATTTATCTATGCGTCCATGTAAGTTTTTTTAAAATACAAGCGAATTTGTTTGGGCCCATTATCATGAAGTGCTTGTTAGCAAAACTTCTAGAATAAAATTTTATTTTCCCTATATAGGTTATAAAGCTTATTTTCCCTAGAAATCAGAGTGAAACATTCTATGAGCAACTGATTGCTTGAAAATACCGTGTGTATTCCTAGAAAATGTCTCATGTCAAAATCAATGAAGCTTGGTTATAATTGCTCACCTTGGTCTTCTGCCTGGTAACGGGCTCATTTATGCTGCTGTAAAATGCTTGTTTGGCCTATTGGTTGGGGAAAATCCAATTATCACTCTGCCCATCAACTCTAAGATAATTGTCAAGTTGTCGATGAAGTGGACGGTAAATATTTCATGGTGAAATGTTTTTTTGTTGTTGTTAGATTGCTTGACAATGTGAAGGTTGGTTTTTGGTTTTTGGTTTTTGGAAATTGATTTACAGTTGAGGGCAGGTTTTGTTTACTTTTTATTTATTTATTTATCAACAGAGGTTGACATAGTACCCAAAAAAAAAATTTTTATTTTTTTTTTTTGGTAGATTCTATAATGAGTATACTTCTAAACGTGTGGTCTGAACTTGTTTTATGTGAATTGCATTGCATACCTCTCTACATATATAACTAATTTGTATGTAAACTTTAGTACTGTGAACAATGGCAATTTACTGGAATAATTATTATTTTACTCTAAAATGTTGTAAATAAGTCACGTAATTAGCAAGTGCAGCACGTTGCTTTGTGTGAATAATATGCAAGTGAACTTTATTAACTTATCCCTAGTAATCCTATGTTTATTTCTATCATGCATGTGCTTATCTGCTTGTTTTTTCAACAGGATCTACATAACTCAAAGTCAGCATTTGAGAGAAGCCGCTTCAATCTAGTATGTGTAATACATTTGCAATTCTTTACTTTCTTATTTGTTCCATCTTTCTGGTCCTAATCAACTTTTGTGTTGCCTTTAAGGAATTTAGGTAAGTTCTCTTATGAATATTGAAGCCAAAAAGAAATATGAGTTTTTGGAGTCTTTAAGTGCAATTATGGATGCTCATCTGAGATTCTTTAAGTTGGTGCGTTTCTTTAATTATTATACACTTTCTTCTTTACAAGTGGATGTGGTTGCCATCATGTTGACTAAACATGGTTTGCTGACTTTATTCTTTCAGGGTTATGAATTGTTAAGCCAATTGGAGCCATTCATTCACCAGGTATGTCCATGTTTTGAAGAGGTTAAAATTCAACCAGAATGATTTGCAGGAGAATATGAACATTTGCAACCTTGAACATAATAGATGCAAAATTCTGATAGTCGAGCTAATCGTCTATCCCTCCCCTTCTCACATTATTTTTATTTCCTGTCACTATTAGCATTGTTCTAAGATTTCTGAGGAGCAATTATGTGGGGGCATGTACCTCACAGCTTCTATTTAGAGATTTCCACTATATATTATTAGGACTATGTGGCATTGGTGACTATCAAGTCATTTGGCCAAGGAATATTTCAGTCTAATTTTTAAACTCTGGCATCTAATACCTTTTTGTTGGCATATTATATTCGCCGAAAGTCACTTAGCATATTATATTAGCCGAAAGTCACTATGGTCTGTAATCATTTTTATGCCTTGTAAACCCTAATCTTCATTTATAAATAAGGGGTGATATCTCATCATACCCTAAACTGGTTACTCAAGCTTCACTTTTTTCTTGAATTGTTTGGGATTTCAGACCACTTACATAGTTTCTCACATAAAATCCTTATTATTTATTGTAGTCTAATCCAACAAAGCCTTATTATTTATATGTATAGATTCTTTTTCTGGGTGCTGTTGGTATGTTTGTCCCCTTTCCTCTTATAAGCACTTCCCCCTTATAAGCACTTGATTCATGTTGTGAGTAGTGATCTTATGGGTGCATAAATGACATCTTCAATGCAATTAATCCAATAGGTGACACCTTAACCAGAGGAAGAAAGGATGGTCCAGATTTGAGAATCTCAGTTGAAAGCTATGGCTCTGTTTGGTAGAGCTTTGGAACGTTAGTTCCAGGCTTTGATTTGCACACCATGTTTGTTTATGGTTTTCAAAAATTAATTCCACACTTACTTTTGAAAACTCTGTCCAAAGCGGGAAAATTTGGGTTAACCGGTCGTCCCACCGAACGTCCGGCCAGTTGACCGGAACAGGGCATATATATATATATTTTGCAATTGACACATGTTAATTTTATATATTCAATGAAAAATATTTTTTGAATTTTTTAAATTTTTTTATGAGTTTTGAATAGAATTTTGAGTTGTGTGTTTGGTTATGAGTTGTAAGTTTTTGTATCAAATATCATATGTCACATCAAAAATTCTCCACTCAATTCAAAACTCTTTTCAAAACTCATTCACCAAACAAATTTTTCACACTCAAATCATAATTTCAAAACTCACAAACTCAAAATACAATTCTATTCTCAAATCATATTTAGAAAACTCTACCAAATACAACCGTAGACTCCCTGGCACAGTTCTTTTACCATTTTGAATATTGATTGTCCATATGAACAAGGGAAAACCCATCTTGACTATGTGCTATCATGATGTTGCCACATGCCATCCAAAGGGAAATTCTAGCACATTAGTATCTCTCTTGTTCTGTTTCCCCCTGGATGTGTTAGAGAGGTGATGTGACTTAAATAAGATGATGTGACTTAAATAGAATAGTGACTTTTTGACTTTGTCTTTTTTCAATCATGCCAAACTTGGCCTTAGTCAACCCATTTTGTCCCTCTCTCTCTCTCTCTATATATATATATATATGTCTGTGTGTATATATAGTTCTTCTGTTTTCTGTGAGTGGCTTGAAACTTTGAGCAGTGTTCCATATTGCTCACTTTTTGGCTACAAAAAACTAGTTCGTCAAACCAAAAGTTACTTGATAATGTCATTCAGTAGGTGTACCAAAAACTTGGGATTTAATCTGGCTCTCTTCTAGGGTCTTATTTTCAGAAGAAAGTGATGGGAGCCACTCCAATTAATGTAGCACTTTGCCGTCGCACCCAAAGAAGAAAAAAATAATCACTTAACTGAGTATAATCAATTATCATCCTTGTAGCGGCCAAAAAGATGTTTGAATTTTGCTTCTCACAACCCAACTGTCCCAGATAGTAGAGCAGAAGTTTGTCCCAACAGCTATTTTTGAAAGTACCTAAAAGACTTTCGTCTTTTGTATATTTCAAGTCCTTCTGCTTGCTTAGAAAATGAAAGGCTTTGATCTTGTTAACTATTACAAAGATACACTCCCATATAGGTATGCTGAAGAGTTAGGCATGATACACTCTTCAAGATGTCACATGTCTTGGTGAAAGCCCCTTTCTCGTTGAGGTAGATTAAGGTGGAGACGCACTAAGGGGCAAGCCAAGCAACCTTGGCGATCCCTAATTTTAGCCTCCAAGCCATATAGCCTTTTGATCTTCAGTGGGGTTCCTAAGTGTTTCAAGGCCAATTCCGTGACGCTTTGCACATGTGGATGTGATCTTTGGAGTGCTCAAGAGTGACCCTTGGAAGTTCCTAGATGAATGCAATTGAGATTCTGAGTGGATGGTTCGATACCTCAACGTGGCCCCGAGCAGCCCAAGGTGCACACGACGACAGCAGCCAGAAGCACGCCGCATGTGCGTGCATAGCACATTGCCTACACGGGCGCCTGGCCGGCTGCCCACGTCCATGCATGCGCACCTGCCTACCCGCTGGCCTTGCCGACTGCGCCCAGCGCCAGCAGCCTGCTGGGCAGGTTTTTGGGGTTCGATTTGAGGGACCAAATGGAGGAGTTTTGGACAAATATTTTTATTGGGATTAGGCCTTAGGGTAAGGGTTCCCCGGGCCAAGTTTTGTGATTTTTCTCAATTTGTAGAATATATGAAAATTGATTATGACTCCTCAGACATAGGCAATATTTCCTCCTGCTAGTTTGTCAAGAGCTTGAAATGCATATATAAGGGTGCAAGGTGTGCTACTTGCTTGCCTCCCCGACCAAATTATGCTTCAAGTGAGCAACCCTAAGGCAACCTAGGGGCAGGGTTTAGGCATCCAAAGGGGTGTTTAAGGTCTCCACATGGAATTGGGAGCCCCGTGGACGGACGGTGCCATTGAGGGGCATTAGTGCTGGCATCGCACACACCTCTCAGGTGCAAGTTTTAGTATTTTGGGTGGCGTTCTAGACCGAGTGGTCTATTGAGGCACCACCATAGGCTTCGTATGCCAACTCACAGACATGGTTTAGGTTCGACCTTGCACGTGGGGGTCCTTGGCTTAAAGAAATTAGCTAGAAGGAAACGCTGCCTGTGGGCTATCGAATGAAGGCATCAAACTAGACTATGAGATGAGCACTTTGTGCTTAGCAAGTGGGATATTGAAATGCTATATGGAAGGTACGGATTGATATGTTTCCTTACTCGAGTGCACACTAGTGCAACGCTAAGGGCATGTGAAGGCCTTAGGCCGAATCAAGCACGCATGTATGCATGAGGATTATGCCATGGGCATTATGGTGATCCTCGTTGGTTTGTGGATTGTGCTTGACTATGTGGCTACCTGGTATACAAGGATTGAGGCATGCTAGACCCTATGACTCTTCAAGGTGCTATGGCAGACCCCAATTAGAGCTTGTTGGCTAGGTCGAGGGCTTGCACTAGCACATTCTCGTGTGGCTAGGCGTCTTGATGACATGGACCTCAATTGGGAGAGCACCTTGCTTAGGACAAGCTTGGTGCTTTGAAGCGACTTGAGCTATGCATGGTGCACTTGAGGTGTCAAGGCTACTTGTGGCATCCGGTAGAGACGGAGCTTTCCTCATGGGAGTTGTTCTTGCTTGACAAAGCAATGGGCCCTAAATGATTAGAACGGGTGGAATCATCAACACTCAACTTTCGTGAAGTATGGCAGGCTTAAACTTGGTGGAGTTTGAGTACTGCACGAGCAAAAAATTGGTCCATTGCACCTCTAAAAGAGTTAGCCCGTGACACTAGGCCATGTTTCTAACTTTGGTTGTGACGGCGATAATAGAAAACCCTTCTAGAGACCAATTAAATGGACTGGAGAGGCCATTTGGTGGAGGATGCCTAGACAAGCCGAAGCAATGCGAGGAGATAACATGGAGAGGATGTGTTTGTTTGGTAAGGAACAAAAATTCTATTTGTTTCCATTGAAATGGCTAAAACCAAAACAAAATACTAGTGGAATGATGAAATTCTAGTGTTTCCATCGAAATGCACCAAAGCACAACATAATATATCGAAACAATAAGTTGTAGGACAAATTTAGAATATTTTATTTTTTTGAGAAAATATAAATGATTGTATTTTGTACTATATTAATAATTATTATTAGTAATATAGTAACCCCCAAGCCTAGTGGTGTAGGCTTAGGACTTAGGAGTTTGCTCCTTTCTAGGTTTCAGGTTCAAAACCTCTTAGGTGCTATCAATCTTTGTGTTTGGCCAGTCCATACGGAGCTTTGCTTTGACTTTAAATGGGCCCCCTATTAGTGGACGGTGGGATTGGTCCCCCAAAGATTAGTCGAGGTGCACACAAGCTATCTCGGATACCCTGAGTTATCAAAAAAACAAATATTAGTAATATAGTAAGATTATTATTACTATTGCCCAAGTCACTTTTTAAACTTTATTTCTTAGTAGCGGGAAAGCCCTTGTTGAGTGGCCTTTCTTATTCACAAACTCGATTTCACGCTCTTAAGTAAGAAACTTGCTTCCAACTGAGGTAAAACCTTTCAAATATACAAATCTCAAAGAAAGAAAAGAAAAGAAAAATAATATAAACTTATTCTAGTATTTTCTATTAACATAATATTTATTTATACTTAACAAAGACAATTTGTAGTTGGCATCATTCTCTAATATTTATTCATATTTTAACACATATATTACAAGTTACAACTAAGCAAAAAAATCAATTATTAGAATATATCTATATATTAAATATATACAAAATATACATGTTTTCAACCTTAGAAACTTCTATATGTCCTCGCTTCCTTGCCCTTGTTCCCTCTCCCACTGTCACTGTTGCCCTTGCCCCCGCCCCACTTTATGCAACTAAGCTTTATTTTGTTGGAATTTACACATTTTAAGTATCATTTACACTTGTGTCAAAAGATGTATATTTTTTGATGGCGAGGAATCCCTCGAATACAAGTCCACTTTAGACCCACCCATACAGGGCAAATCTTGGATACCTACTACCATCTACAAGCCATTGGTATCGGATAAGACGAGGCATTGCCACTGTTAATTGAATTCAAGACCTCCGGGTTTACTGTTGGTCCTAAGCCTCCCTTAAACCATTGGACTACCTTGGTGGGTTAAATTGAATTGATAAAACAACATTCAATAAAATTGAGTTAATATTTAAAAAAAAATTGGTTCATAAATATCTTATTCATTTTACACTTGTTCTTTATTTTGTAGCTATATAAATATTGATATGCGTAGTTAATTCATTGTTAGGATGTTATGAGTTTTGGTAGCTTTCGATCTATGTTTCCAAACATATCTTTATATTTTCAAATTATTTTTGTTGGTTCTAGAATGTTTTTGTTTCCATGCTAATCAAAACAATAGATTGAAAAATGGAATTTTGATCCTTGTTGCATGGAGAACACACCTTAATCTTAGACGAGACAAGTGTTGGAGAATGGCATGCTCGGTTGGAGAACCACTTGACCATGTCAGGGGAGTGCCATGTGGCATGACCATGAATATGGAAATCTGCTCTCTTTGGCGAAGAATCCTTGGTTGAGCCAAGGTGATGCCATGAGTGGCCTAAGGAGTGGCTTGTCTCTTTACGCTTAGGCTCAAGGTTAGGGTACTATAGGCCTCTTTGTTGCAGCTTATTGCAAACTTAATCAGAAAGTATAAGCTTAAAATATCTATTTTCCTGATTCTCACTAATCAATTTTTTTGTAGCTAATTTTAGCTATTTTTGATTTATCAAAAAAAAAGAAGCTATTTTTGTCTCATAAGCTATAAGCAGAAGGTGCACCAAACACTGGCGTATATTTCCAAAAAAAAAGAAAAAAGAAGAAGCTATAAGCAGCTCTATAAGCTGTGTGTACTATCCTTGGATCTATGGTTCATGTGTCACCTTGCAAGGTTAACATGTGGCACCATACTCATGGAGTTGTTGATATGGAAATGGTGTGGTTAACATGTTCCAACATACAATAGACACAGACAAGCATACGGACACGGGACACGGTAATTTTTAAAAAATGGGGACACAGACACAGTAGGGGACACGGCAAATTTTTTAATTTTTTTATAAATATTTTTATTTTAATACACATTAATTATTTTATTTATTATATTTTTTAAATAATGTGTTCCAATTACAGGGGACACGGTAGATTTTTTAATTTTTTTATAAATATTTTTATTTTAATACATATTAATTATTTTATTTATTTATTATATTTTTTAAGTAATGTGTTCTAACTAATTTTTTTATTTTATTTTATATACATGTGTTTATTTATTTTTATTAATATGTATAAGTATAAATAATATAATAGTTATATAATAATAACTTTAACTATTATAATAATAATACTTTCAGTTATTATTATTATATAATAATAGTTATATATATATATGAATCAAGAAGCTGAAAGAAGATAAAGACGCGACAAAGAGAGAGAGACGAAGAAGCGATCGATTGCAATTGCGAGGGAGAGAGAGAAAGTGAGAGAAAGAGCTCGTCGAAGTCGAAGGGTGACCGAATCGTCGTAGTCGAAGGGGATGGAGGTCGTGGTCGACGGCTTATGGTGGTCAAAGTCATAGAGATCGACAGGCAAGTCGACTGGATCGAAGTCCAGGTTTGTTTCAAGACTTTTACTCTTCTCCTTTACTCTTCTTTTTTGCTCTCTGTGTCCAGATTTGGTGGACATGCGTGTCTCCGCCATGTCCCCTGCAAAAAAATAATTAAATTAAAGGGACATGCCACCTAGCGTGTCCCATACGTGTCCCCGGCGTGTCCCCATGTTAGACACTGCCATGGCATGAAATCTGCCGTGTCCATGCTTCATAGTTCATTGGTATCATTTTTATGCTCTACTGGGTATGTTCTTTATGGTGCATGTTATGTGGCAAGAGACCATAATTAACTAAGGCCTGTTGTATGGAGTGATAAGTTGAGGTTTGAAGAGGAACTGGCCTTGTCGAGAGAGAGAAAGGAGAGGACTGAGAGAATAGTGCAATGGTAGTATGATGGGAAAACATAATGGAGCTAAGTAGTCATTGCTCAAATTCAAGAAGTATAATTTAGAAAATGAAAGCCATTGGGATCTATGAAGCACAGACACCTTTTCGAGGGCTACATTTCAGTGTTGGACACGTGTTGGTCAAGGACATGGACATGCGTCGGACACGCGGTGGACACGTGTCCGACACGTCCTAGAAGGTGTCAATTCTATTTTATTTTTTGATTTTTTTGCAGCCAGACATGCTATAGACACATTGTGGAGACGTTTCGGAAACTGTGGGGCCAAAAACATAATTTCTGATACTTCAATTGGGGGTCAGTTTGTAAAAAATCAAAAATTGAAGCGAGTAAACCAAGCCCTAACCTAGATGTCAAATAGAAAGAGGAGAAGAGGCTGAGAGAAGTCTGCTCACTGCTCTTACGAAGGTATGTTCTTTGATCATCTTCTTCTACTTTTTGATCTCTCTCTCTCTCAGTTGCTCTCTGTCTTTCAGTCACTCTCTCTGTCTCAGTCACTCTCTGCCTTTCTTCTTCTTTTGATCTTCTTCTTCGTTCAATGTCTCTCTCAGTCGCGTGCTCTCTCTCTCTCTCTCTCAGCCGCCCTCTCTGTTTCTCTCTCTGTCACTCTCTCTCTCTCTCGGTTTGTCTTTCTTCATTTTTTCCCTTCTTTTTATGCTGAATGGTTCTCTCTCTCTCTCTACGATTTTTATTTTTTTTATTTTTTATATATATATATTTTTTGACTTTTCTTGTCTCTATCTGTTATTTATATGCTAAATGACTCTCTCTACGATTTTTATTTTTTATATATATTTTTTTTATTTTGACTTTTTTGTCTCTATCTGTTATTTATTTATATTCTTTTTTTTTTTTGATTGATTACTTTATAAGAACACATTAGTTTTTGTTAATTTTAATGATATGTGTTTACTAATTTTATTATAGGAACCAATTTTTATTTATAGTGTTATTTTGTATTTTTTATTACCTTTTAATGAATTTTTTATTATTATTTATAATTTTATGACATGTAATAAATAAATTTAATTATATATATTCAATGTTTCCCCAGCGTATCGTGTCTCCCATTTTTTGAAATTTTGCGTGCCCGTGCCTGTGTCCGTGTCGTGTCACGTGCCCGTGCTTCATAGTTTGGGATCTTCTGCTTTCCATGTGGTTTCCTCCTTTCTCTAATTGTGAGGTCTTAATTTTGAGGACTAGAAAAATTACTTTTCCTCCTAAATGGAAATGATCCCTGTTATAGTTTCTGAGAACTGTTACATTGAAAGAATCAAGCTACATTACTATCATCTTACAGTGCCCTCTGTTGCTAGCTAACACAATTCTTGATGTCATGATACATTTATGGGATATCAAAGGTTTCTTAGTGCATGGTCACAAATTAGAATGGAGTGGTGTCAATACTCTCTTGCATATGGACACTTGAATACAGCGTGTTTTTGGAATGGATGAGGAAAATAGCATTGATAAATGGAGTATCCTATTTTTACTCTCTTTTCCTTTTGGGTTTTTGGGGAAACAGGTTGGGAATTTTTTTCTGCAGAAGATAATTTGGAAGTCTCTGGTTTATTCTCAAGTGACCTTTGTAGGTAGTGTAATTGATAAGACTTAATGGTGGATATTTTCATATTTCTTATTATATTCAAACAATATTGATTAACTACATACTTTTTTGTCCACCCCTTCTATTTTTGGTGGCAATTCATTGGTTTATTTGGCGTACACTGGTTGATGCATAAATCTATTGGATATTTGATGGATGGTTGGGTTTTCCAACATTGGGTATGAAGGGATGGTTTGCTTGGATGGCTATTAGAATTATGTTCTTTGAGCAACGAAAAAAAGTAAGGAGTATGCTGATTGATGAAGGCAATAGATGAAGCAGAAAATGTTGCTATTCTTAGCATTGACATTGTCACTTTTATACTCCTTTTAAATCCAGTTCATGATTGTTGTGGTTTGGCTTTTGTGTTAGGAGTTTGCCATCTGTGTGCTTAAATAATTTTTATTTTCCACTCTTAGGCTCTCCTTTCGTTTTTTTATTTTTATGGGTCATGTGCTGGTTTCACTAACCAAAAAAGAAAAAGTAAAAAGGTTATGTGCTAGTCTTTTGGGCTTATGTTTTCTGGCCTTTTGTATCTGTTATGCTATTCACATATATTACCTTCTGTATTTGTTATTATCATAAAATATAATGAATTTTCATTTTTAAAGCCACTATCCATGTAACTTGAAAGTCATGCCATCTCTATAATTTTTTTATGGATTCCTTACATTCATCTCAAGTAGTTCGAGCCATTGGTATTCCCATGTTTATCTGTTGATATGCATCTAGAGACTAGATTCATGAAAGGTGAAACATTATCAGGCACTATAATACTATATGCCATGGGTGGTAATCTTTTATGCCTATCTGCTGATCTGACTCCTGTCTTTGTCAATGTGATTGTGCACTTCAGACTCAGTTGGCTCATGAAAATATAGTAGCCATGTATAAATGGATTGCTTCTCCTAAATTCAGGTGTTAACGTATGCACAACAATCTAAAGAACTGGCCAACATTGAACAAGATAACCTTGCAAAGAGAATCCAGGAGTTCAGAACACAAACAGAGCTGGACCAATTACGAGCTTCCAGTAATGTTGAAGTGTCAACGAGTGCTGTTCATATTAATGGTGTTGGCATGAGTTCTTACAAAAACATAGAAGCAATTATGCAGTCCACTGCAAAAGGGGAGGTAATTCGTTCATTTACATAGGTTTTTACTCTCTCTCTCCCCCCATCTACATGACTTTGCTTTCAATGGATTTATTTTCATCTTGTCATGGGATGAATAAAATAAACATATGGACTTTTATTTTCTTCTGTACTTACAAGGAAGTTTTTATAATTCATGATGACTTTTCAACACTTCATTGCTTTAAGCCTAATTCATTAAAGGGGCAGTTTTTGAAGAGCTATTTCAAATCTTGTAGATACAGACAATCAAGCAAGGATATCTCTTAAAACGTTCCTCCAGCTTGAGGGTTGATTGGAAGAGGCGATTCTTTGTCCTTGACGGTCATGGAACTTTGTATTATTATACCAATAAGGGTACCAAAGCTGCGGTATGTTGTCTTTCTTTTCTGTCTTTGGGTGATGAATTCAGTGGCACTAACATGCGATTTTGGCTTGATTACAATTCAAACTGAACTTCTGTTTAGACTTACATGAATCTCAATAATTTTAATCTGGTTGATGTGCTACAACTTTGAGGGGAAGGTCATTTATGCTAGTGTGATATTGGGGAATGCAAGGTGCCAAGCTCATACTTCGATCTCCTTTGAAGCGTACTTTTCTTTGCGGGAAACAAAGGAAAATCCTCCCGGGAGAGTTCTAACCATGTGAACCCTACTCTTAGCAAATACAAAAGCCAAAATCAAATTTTAGTAGTAAAAACTCGATCTAATGGTTTGTAAATTGTAATAATAAATCCTGTATTCTTGGTCACTGTCACTGACCAACTTTAATCTCATATTTTATAAGATATGGTAAAATACTAGAAGGAACCCCCCAATAAAAACCTTTGATATAGTATGAATAATGTCATACTATAGTAACACGAACAATGTTGTGCTGCAGCACTGTGACCAGTGTGGGTACAATCCTAATGGTTTGTAAATTGTAATAATACAGTAACTTATGTTGATGCTCCTGCATCAAAGTTTTAGGATTGGAAAAAACTCTCTAATCAACATCCTGCATAACAACCATAGTTTACTATTGAGATAACTTCTTGTTTATCCATCGGCTAAAGGAGAAATGTGTTATCAAACTTGTCAACATCTTACATGATGTCATAGAGCTTTCTGTAGAAAATATGCTCAACAACCACATCTTAGTTACCCTATTTTGTGACAAAGTGCTGCACATCCATAACTACAAGATATTCCCAAACTATGCTTCCATCTGGAGATGAACAAAATCTTTATAAATTAATGTTGAATACCAACTAGAGAAGTACATTTATATGTCAGGAAAACCAAATTGTCTAATGATTCTAGTCTTCTCCTCTTAGATGTTCATCATGTCAAGTCACTAGTTTTCCCAAAAGTTTAAACTATTAGGAAATAGACCCAACAATGTGTATCAAGCTATTCAACACCCTCCCTCACGTGCAACCATGTTTTGGTCGTGGAGAGATAAACAAAGAACCAAATAGAAAGAGAAGCCGACAACCAAACAGAGAATAAGACAACCAAAATAGATTTAATCGTGGTTTACAATTATGGCTTCCATACCTATTTTTTTTATTTAGGATCATCTCTCGGATAAAGAAAGAATAAGAATCAAAGAAAAGCAGTGATTCAAATCTAGATTTCTCTGGTATTCTATGTCAAATCACAAAAAGAAATAAAGCAAAAGATACCAAAGCAATGTTGTATCAGACTACTTGTCTTCTTGTAGTTGGATCCCCAAGTTTTTTGGAATGCTCCAAATTCCACTTGAGCATCCAAATCTGGGTCAATACCTGCAAAAATATCTCTGAACAGGGTTCTAGCACCATGCCAAATGTGCCTAAAGAAGAAGAGCAAAGCGAGGTTTTAGGCTGATACAAAAATAATTGCTTAGTGATGTCATGATGTGCGATAAAAGTTAGGAATCAACTTATGTAATAGAGTCGATGCACTAAGGTATTGAGCAGCGGTGTAGGATCAGATCCCAAAGATAGTAAGTCTTTTCTTTCTTATGAAGGAAAGCCTTTTTCAAAGATTCTATATGAAACGGGGATAGTTACCTTTCAGAAACTTAGATTAAATATCAAATGTCAGCAAACACACTTGAACTCGAGACCTCTTTCAACCTGAGCTCTGATATTGTGTTAATTCATCAATTATTCCAAAAGCTTTGGCTATTAGGAAATGGGCTCAATAATGTATATCAAGCTATTCTACACATCAGACACTAGTGGGGCTTCCCAATATATTAATTCCGGAACAACCAAACTTGGAGCTATCATTTAGCACCACGAAAACACATGCTCTTAAGAGCTTCTAAATCAATGAAGAACTTAATTCACCCATATCGCTCACTAATCAAGGCATCATAGCTATGTGGGAATTCCACTTACAAAAACAATTTAATGATAGATAAGTACCAAATTTTAAATAATTATATTAGGGTATTCCAACATTAGTGTTTGTCCTTTAGTTGCACGAAGTGGGGGCAAGGGCACATAGAAGAGTTTAAAGCTGCCAGTGCCTAAGGGTTGAAAAATCTAGAAATCCCCTAGATGTTGATTTGTGATTATGTATCAATTTTAAGCAGTATATAACAATCCCAATCAAACAATCAAGACAAATCGACACAACGATTTTACGTGAAAAAACCACAATTGGACACCTCCAGTTGTGATAAAAAAAACTACGGGTAACAGCCACAAAACAATCCACTAAAAAGATATAAAGGAATTACACAGGTATACTCTCAATTACCTAGCGAATCCACGCCCGAATTGAACCAACCTCTATGTGCCTCTTCCAACCCCGTCTTCACCTCGGAATTGTCTTGATGATGAGTTACTCTAGAATCCACCAAAGTTTCAGGCTCGAATTCTTCAGAATCCACCGAAGAACAACTCTCTCTTTTGTGTAAAACAAACAAATAATCCTTTGATGTATACTCTTTAAACCATGAGTTGAATACTCAATCAAAATATCAAAGAAAACTAGCAAAATATCCCCAGATATAAACTCAAGAACCCAAGAAGAAGATCTGAAGAAGTAATCCTAAAATCTGACTGAATCAAGTACTTATAGAAATCTGAATCGCGAGGCTCGCTCGAGCGAAGACTCTCTCGCTCGAGCGAGGAACCAAAAACGCATGTTTTCCAAAAGTGCCTTCGCTCGAGCCACGCACTCTTCCCTCGAGCGTACATTCATCTCTTTCAGGTTTTTATACGGACGCAGCCTTCGCTCGAGCGAGCAAGGGCGGACATGCAACTTCGAATGCAATTTGGCATTTTGCTTTCGGGGGCGCTGCCCCTCGACCCCGCCGTGGCGCTGCTTCGGACCCTCCAAGGGGCGCTGCCCCCTCGACCCCCACGAGCTGACCGGGCAACTCGATCCCCGTCATAATCAGCGAAGTGGCAATCTTGAAAGTATTAACATCACAAACTTCTTTGCAAGGCACAATTCGGGTTGGATTCGCATCTAAACACTCATAATCTCACTGAAATAAAAAGTGCGAAAACAAATACAACTGAAAAAGAGTTTTGTCAAACGGGATTGCCAAGAATAAAAACCTAACATGAGTGTTTATATATTTTGTAAGATTTATTCTTCTTCTTCTTATTATTATTATTATTATTTTGTTGTTGTTGCTGGTTGGAGCATAAATGTCTCCAATAATAGGGGATCCTTACTCTCTGCATCTAAGGTTTGTTTTGTAAACAAGGATCAAAACTCCGTTTCGATATGTTTTTTATTAGCACTGAAACAAAAACTTTAATGCTCTTTAATTGATAAAGATTCATTTTTTACTATGTTATAGTCTAATATCATATATATTTATTTAAGTTATTCTTTTATATTACATTTTTTCTCTTGAATTATACATATGCCACAACATACTTTCTATTCAAGTTTTTAAAATTAATTTTTTTTTTAAAACTTCAGTTTCTATACATTGTTAATTATAAAACAAATAAAAAAAAAGAAAATTAAAATTTTAGAATCACTCTTTAACGCTCCCTGTAATTTAATCATTATTTCTACTATTAAGTTGAGTGTTTACTTTATTATAATTTAACGTCATATAAAATTATCATATTTAAGTTACATTAGGGCTAAGATTATTGTCATGCATTGCATACGTTGCAATGCATTTTTTAAAATAATTTTATATGCACACACATAGGCATACATGTAAATAATTTAGCTAAATTTTATGGAACATCGTTTTGAAAAAATATCTTTCCAATGCATGGCACGGGCAACTGCTAGTTTATTAATACAGGAAGAAACAGCATTTCTTACCCCTTTTTTTTTCTTCTCAAAACATGTAAAACATATATGAAAAATTCTAAGTTCATGTCAACACAACTTGTTTCGGTGTATTGTATTGTGTTTTGGTGTATTTAGACTTTAGCTATGTTTTTTGATGGAAACAACTAGAATTTAATCATTCAACTAGTGTTTCATTTTGGTCTCTTGAGAAATGGAAACAACCCGTTATTTTAATGGAAACAAATGGAAATGATATTCCTTGTCTTGAATTCTGGTGTTGGATTTGGGCAGGCTGGATATATACGTAACTTTTGTCATTCTCTGTTCAATGTGGCTGCTTTAAAACTTGAACTAATACTCTTTCGCATGACAGCCTGCCTTTAACACTTTATCAATTCTGTTCTTTTGTATGCTTGAAATTCTATGTTGAATTTTTTGAAATTTACTGTGATAATCATGCATGAATTGCTTCTGATTAATTTTATTTTGAAAATTTTAACTTTACTTTCTCAGGGCTCTACGTCAGTCCATTCATTTAGTTCAATGGAACACAATCATCGGGTCTTTGGAAGATTTCGTCCAAGGCACCACAGGTCATCATCAGTTGGCGAGGAAAACTTGGGTTGTCGTATTGTTGATCTTCGTACTTCAACAATAAAGATTGATGCAGAGGATACAGATCTACGTCTTTGCTTCAGAATAATTTCCCCTGCAAAAACTTATACATTGCAGGTGAAATCTGTTGAATTTCACATGCATAATCATAAGACTAATTTCACATGTAGGCTATACATGATTTTATTATTGGAATAGTTTTGGCAAAGGAGAGTTGGTCCTTTTCTTTTTCTTCCTCATCTTTGAATTGTATAGTTAGTTTGTTCGAAATTATTTGAACCTTTCCTTCACCTGGTGTGGGCAGGCTGAAAATGAAGTTGATAGGATTGACTGGATGAACAAAATCACAGGAGTTATTGCATCTATTCTGAACTCACACTTACGGCAGGTTGAACTCTCTGAAATTTTAGTCCTTCCCGATTAAACTATGATGGATGACATGAATATTTTTATTTTTGAATGACAAGAAATAATTGTAACTTGTGCAGCTAGATCCCGGGAGAATTGATATGGAAAATAACAATGCTAGTGGTGCTGTTTCTTTTGATGTTCGATCAATTCATAATCATCAAAACTTACGTGATGACAAGAAAGTCAATGAATTCCCTAGTGTTTCTTTGGCTCTCAGAGAAATTCCTGGAAATGATATTTGTGTAGAATGTGGTGCTCCTGAACCTGATTGGGCATCTCTAAATCTTGGCATTTTGATGTGCATTGAATGCTCTGGTGTTCACCGGAACCTTGGTGTTCATATCTCGAAGGTGCATTTATTATTGAAAAGTCTAAAACATTTTTCCCTTCCTAGTTGTGAATTTTTTTCATTGCTTTTTCTTTTTCTTTTTCTTTTTTCCTCTGACACTTTAATTTCACCAGTACAATTACTTAAGAATTATGTTTACTGTAGGTACCACTATGAAAATTATAGTAGGTATGTGGGGTAAATTACTGTATGTGGGGTGAATTTCACTACAGCTTAACATTCTCAGCTTCAATATTTTTTAGAGAATTTTTTTACTGCAAGCACCATAATATGTTACACACAAATTAGTTCAGGTGTGTCAAGAAGTACCTAGGTAATAAGACCAAGGAAGTATAGAGTGTTCTTCATTCTTCTGTGCTCTCTTGTTTTTGTTGCAACATAGATGCTGTTAATAGCACACCTTTTAACTTTTAAGTGAATATATTAACAGTACTTGGCACACTATAAAGTAAGTTGGAGATATTGGGAAATTGTTGTCCTTCGAAATTTCTTAAATATACTTAATCATAATGATCAAAATGTATTTCTTTTGGGGAAACATCTGCACAAATGTTGTTTTGCCATATTTTGTTGAACATGGAGTAATGTTAAACAAGGACAAGTAGTGATTTTGTGATTTTTTGGAACTTGGTATTTTGTAATTTTGTGATTATTGGATTTAAATATAGGGATGTTGGGATGAGTTCATGATCTCAGACCAAAAGCCCTATGGTATTGAGTTCAAGGCACTTTGTTTGCCACATCTTAAACTCTTTCCGAGTGTAGAGATATTTTAGGCTCTTATGATCTGTATAAATCTCACAAGTAGCACCATCCAAGTAGTGATGCCATATTCTTAAACCACTATCATATTCTATACATGCCATTATCTACCACCAACACCACTATCATATTCTATACATGCCACTATCTACCACCAACACCACTATCATATTATATACATTAACACAAATTTCCAGCAATTACCTAGAAGAATAAGTAATGAACTTATCATTTTGCATAAAAACACAACCCTAACGCTTATGTGAAGCATCACTCACTGCAAACAACAAGCCCTTCAATACCAAATGGAAGAGATGATGTAGGACCTGATGCTAACCTGTTCTTTAGGTCTTGGAAACTCTGTTCCTTTTCATCAGTCAATTCAAAAGATGTTATTTTCTAAGTCAATTGTGTCAACGGAATAACAATCTGGGAGAATTCCTTCACAAACCTCCCGTAATACCTAGCTAACCTCAAAAAGCTACAAACCTCTGCAACGTTTTTTTGGCTTTGGCCAATTCATTATCGTTTGAATCTTTGGAGGCTCAATTGAAATTCCTTTATCACTAATGATGTAACCTGGAAATGAAATAGTAATGAGCCAAAACTCAATGCTTTTTCAATTTAGCATACAATCTCCTCTTTCTCAAAGTTTGTTATGTGCCTTTCAAATGTTGTTCATGCTCTACAAGATTCTTTGGGTACACTAAGATATCATCAGTGAACACAATAACAAACTCATTCAATTATGGTTCAAACACCCTATTTATTAAATCCATGAAACCTATTGGTGCATTTGCAACTCCAAATAGCATTACTAAAAATTGATAATGATCTTACTGAAGATTTTAGAGAAGAGAAAGAGTTAGAGAGAATGAGAGAGACCTCATCCTCTTTTATATTGAGAATAAAGCGTAATTATAGGAGTGCCATAAAGCAAGAATTATAGGCTAGCTTATTATAGCCCATTACACCAAATCAAAATAAAATATGTTAATATAATTTCCTATTCTAATAGTATAATTTCCTATTCTAACACTCCCCCTCAAGTTGGTGCAAAGATATTTCTCATGTCCAGCTTGTTGAGAATGTTATGAAATGGTTTGCTCCCTATTCCTTTGGTGAGAACATCGGCTAGCTGGTCCCCAATCCTCACAAATGGAGTACATATGGCGCTACTAGTGAGGTTTTTCTTGATGAAGTGCCTACTAGTCAACCCAGCCCAGACCATGCCTCCCAAAAGCCTTTGCCTAGGCTTTGACAGTCCTCCTGGGCTACCCGACACCCTATTGGGGTGCGTTGGCAGCCCCTCAGGCCTTCTAGGGGTCTGTCGGGAGCCTCTCTATGCCTGTGGGCCTGTGTCAGCTTGCTCTGTGGCATCCAGGACTCCTGTCGGCAAGCCTCTAGGACTCTCCACCTGTGATGACAGCCTTTTTGGCTCTCTCAGCCTCTGTCGACTTGATCCCAGCATCCAGACTTTTGTCGGCAAGTTGCTGTCTCTTTCCTGTAATGTTTTCAATCTAAAAAACACACTAAAAAAAAAAAAATACATGAGTTCTTAAATCTTTATACTGTCATCATGGTAGTTGTGTCTTTCCTTCTACTATTATCTTCCGGGTTTGTAATTGTCATTGTGTTTGAGAGTTAAATAGTAGAGTATTCATGGCAAATTCCCTTAGTGAGTCCACTCCCTCTTAGCCATCTAAGAGTGAGAGTTTCATTATATCTCCTAGTATGACTGATAACCTTAACCCTAGCCTTAAGATCACCACCTCTCTATTCAGTGGTCAGAATTATCTAGTCTGGTCGCAAAGTCTGACTATTTTTTTGAAGAGCAGAGGGAAGATGGAGTATGTTGATGGAAGGATACAGACACCCAGTATCACGGATCCTAGTTATAACCAGTGGGAGATCACCAACTCCCTAATCATGGGTTGGTTGATACATTCTATAGTACCTGAGATTGGTGAGGGCTATTTGTCTATAGACACTGCCCAAGATATTTGGGAGGCTGTGGCTGCTACTTACTCCAGGAAAGGAAACTTCGCACAGGCTTTCGTGTTATGTCGCTCCATTGAACGGTCGGTACAAGGTGAGATGACTATCCTCCAGTATTTTACCTTCCTTAGCAATAGGTGGAAGCAGCTTGATCACCTTTAGGATTACAAGCCTGTCTATCCCACTGATTCTGCTGGTTACCGGAAGTTTGTGGCACAAGAGCGGGTCTTCAAGTTCTTAGAAGGCCTTAATGTGGAGTACGATCCGATTCGGAGCAGAGTACTTGGCATTGATGTACTTCCTTCTCTTCAGGAAGCCTTTGCTTTTGTGCAGAATAAGCAGAGTCGCTGCTCTGCGATGCGTCCTTCTGCTGCTACTGATCGCTTAGCCTTGGTTTCTGCACCCCCTCGTGATACTCGTGGTTCTCGTCCTTCCTTTGAGAAGGATAATCTTTTCTGTGACTACTGCTGTAAACCTCGACACACACGAGAGACTTGTTGGAAGCTACATGGAACTCCCTCTCGTGGCCGAGGAGATCGTCCTGGTACTCAAAGGGGTAGGTCTAGTCAGTCTAGAGGCTGCAGGGACAATGCTTGGGCACATCTTTCAGACATTGTTGAGCTGTTGATGTCTCCAGGTTATCTGCCTCGGATTTTGAGATTGCTCTTCGCCACTTGCTAGGCTGTCGAGCCTCCACTTCTGCTACATGTGCACCTTCTTCTTCCTTTACCAATTCAGGTAACTTGGCTGCCTCCCCATGTGCATTGCTATCTCATACACTTGTACCATGGATTATTGATTCTGGTACTTCCGACCATATGTATGGCTCCTCTAATTTATTCTCCGAGTATAACCCCTCCTCAGGTTAGGAAAAAGTGCGTATTGCTGATGGTTCTATTTCGTTTGTGTCAGGGAAAAGTTTAATTTATGCCACATCTTCCCTTCCTTTGTCCTCTGTACTCCATGTTCTCAATTTTAGTTTTAATCTTTTATCTTTGAATCGTATTACTCGTGATTTAAATTCTAGTGTGACGTTTTTCCTAATCATTGTTGTTTTCAGGACCTTATCACTAGGAAGAGGATTGGCAGTGGTAGAGAGGAACGTGGTCTCTACATTCTGGATCAAACAGACAAGCTGGCTCATTCATCTATCCAGTCACCATCCACCAAGGACGACATTTGGTTGTGGCACCGTCGCTTAAGACATCCCTTTTTTTATTACTTAAGCATTTACTTCCTTCTGTTTTTGAGAAAAATAATGTGTCTGATTTTCAATGTGAGTCATGTCAACTTGGAAAACACCACCGAGCCTCTTTTGCTCCGTATATTAATAAAAGTTCAGTTCCATTTTCTTTGATTCATTATGATTTATGGGGTTCATCCCGTTTTATGTCTTTAAAAGGTCAAAAATGCTTTGTTACTTTCATCGATGACCGTTCCCTGGCCACTTCGGTCTATCTGATGAAAGATAAGAGTGAGGTGTTTTTTGTGTTTCAAAACTTCCATAAAATGGTTTGTACTCAGTTTGGGGTGGTTGTCTTGATAATGGTGGGGAATATATCGACTCTGGTCTTGCCAATTATTTCGCCACTCATGGCATTCTACACCAAACTTCATGCACTAATACCCCTCAACAAAATGGTGTTTCAGAACGAAAAAATCGCCCTCTCCTCGATATGGTCCGTTGTTTATCCTTTGAGATGTTGGTTTCTCGTTCCTATTGGGGAGAAGCGGTTCTCATTGTCGCTTATTTGATTAATTGTCTTCCTACCCAAGTCCGTCACAAACAGACCCCTTTACAAGTTTTGTTCGGATCCACCTCTTCCGAGTTCTCCATTTCTCCTAAGACCTTTGGCTGTATTTGCTTTGTCCATAATCATTCACCTACTTGTGATAAATTAGATCCTAGGTCTCTTAAATGTGTCTTCTTGGGTTATTCTGCCACCCAAAAGGGTTATAAGTGTTATCATCCTACCACTCGCAAATGGTTTGTCTCAATAGATATCACTTTCTTTGAGTCTCAGCCTTACTTTCTACCCTCCGCGGTATCACAGTCCTCCCTTCAGCGGGCGCCTTGGTGTGAAGAGACCCCTGTTCCACTTCCGCCAGTAGTTGCCCAGATAGAGGGTGATAAGCCAACAGTTGTTGAGGAAAAGGACGCAGGCAAAATTCATATCAAGGACAAGGATAGACAACAAGTCACCTGGATGCAAGAGCCTACTTTTCCTCCTTTACTGCCAACTTCTTCTTCGGATAAGTGTCCAGAGTCACCCCACTCTCTTGAGAGTGTAGATAATTCTGATTCTTGTGCTCCTAGTCCTAATTGTTCAGATCTTGATGTTCCCATTGCTAATAGGAAGGGGGTTAGGTCATGTACTCAACATCCTATTAGCAATTATATCTTTTATTCTAATCTGTCTTCCTCATATAAAGTCTTTTTGTCTAAAGTGTCTTCTGTGAGTCTACCTACCAATTTTCAGGATGGTCTCTCTATTCTTGAATGGAAACATGCCATGATGGAGGAGATGAGAATTCTCAGCAAGAATGGCACTTGAGAGTTAGTAGAGTTACCTAGAGGCAAAAATCCAGTTGGGTGTAAGTGGATGTATACTGTAAAACACAAAGTCGATGGTTCCATAGAACGGTACAAAGTAAGACTAATTGCTAAGGGCTTCACTCAGACTTATGGGGTACATTACCAGGAGACATTTGCACCTGTGGCTAAGATGAACTCTGTGAGATTACTACTCTCTCGTACGGCAAATTTGGATTGGCCACTTCATCAGTTTGATGTGAAGAATGCCTTTCTTCATGGAGACCCAGCAGAAGAGGTCTATATGGATATTTCCCCTAGTTTTGCAGATGCTAAGTCCAAAGGTCAAGTATGCAGGCTCTAGAAGTCACTTTATGGGCTAAAGTAATCTCCTAGGGCTTGGTTTGAAAGGTTTGCTCAAGCTATGCTGAGATATGGGTTCAAGCAAAGTCAAGCTGATCACACCTTATTTGTGAAACACTCCTCCCCTGATAAGACCACAACTCTTATTGTTTATGTTGATGACATTGTTTTGACAGGAGATGACATTGAGGAGATCCCTCGGTTGAAGGAATACTTAGCCAATGAGTTTGAAATCAAAGACTTGGGCACTTTGAAGTATTTCTTGGGCATTGAAGTAGCTAGGTCCAAGGATGGTATCTTCAAATATCAGAGAAAGTATGTACTTGACTTGCTAAAGGAAACTGGGATGCTTGGAGGTAGACCATGTCATACACCTCTAGAACCGGGTCAGAAACTAAGTGAGGATCAAGAGGGAGAGCCAGTGGACAAAGGGAGATATCAGAGACTAGTGGGTAAGCTCATATACTTATTCCACTCACGTCCAGATATTGCCATTGCAGTGAGCATGGTTAGCCAGTTTATGCATGCTCCTAGAACTTTCCACTTAGAGGTTGTTATGAGAATTCTGAGGTACTTGAGGTCTTCTCCTGGAAAGGGTCTCTATTTCTCAAAACTGGCCATCTCGGTGTGGAGACATTTACTGATGCGGATTGGGCTGGATCAGTCACTAACAGACGGCCAACTTCTGGATATTGTACATTTGTTGGAGGCAACTTAGTCACATGGTGCAATAAGAAACAGAATGTGGTTGCTAGATCTAGTGCTGAGGCCGAATTTAGGGTTATGGCTTAGGGTGTATGTGAGTTGCTATGGATTCGACTATTGTTGAAAGACTTGGGGATCCATCAAATCGATTCCATGCGGTTGTATTGTGACAACAAAGTGGCTATAAGCATAGCTCATAATCTAGTTCAACGTGACAGAATCAAACATGTGGAGATTGATAGGCACTTCATCAAGGAAAACCTCTCTGGTTGCGCCATATGTACTCCATTTGTGAGGACTGGGGACCAACTAGCCATTGTTCTCACCAAAGGAATAGGGAGCAAACCATTTCATAACATTCTCAACAAGCTGGGCATGAGAAGGTGAAGAAGGGAGGCTGTCGGAGAAGAGAAGAGAGGCTCTAGGCTGGGTAAAGCTGCTGTGTATAGGTAGAATAGGGTAGCTAGGGTCTGAGTGGCTCTGATACCATGAAGATTTTAGAGAAGAGAAAGAGTTAGAGAATGAGATAGATCTCATCCTCTTTTATATTAAGAATAAAGTATAATTACAGGAGTGCCATAAGGCAAGAATTATGGGCTAGCTTATTACAGCCCATTACACCAAATTAGAATAAAATATGTTAATATAATTTCCTATTCTAACACTTATGAAGGCTGTTTTCTCAACATCTTTACCTTTAATCTTCAAGTGATGATAACCTAACCTCAAATCAATATCAAATAACACTAGAGCACCTTGAGATCACACGTATATATACTCTGGCGAATAGATTACAATTTATGAAATATTTATCAAAAAAAAAAAAAAGACTACAATTTATGAAATAAAAACCAGTTACATGAATTACTCCTTATAACCCGTGATCCATAAATCACGTGATACTAAATATTCTAATTCCGACATTAAGCACCTTGATTAATAAATCAAAGAACACAAATTTGTCCGATTTCACCCTAGTTACAAAGTCTTGGTGACGCGCATGAACAAATCTACTTTAGTTTCACATTCTCATAATAATGGTACAATTCTTCAATATAATTCACAAGTGTACTGTAGACACTAACATAACGTGTTCAAGCCAAACATTAAATAAGTGTAGTATAAAGCATTCTTACATCGGAAAGAATATTGAATACCATGCATAATATGCAAAGTAATACCTAGTTTATTGCACTTTAGGTACTCCATTCACTGGAAATGTAGATAAGCGAGTTATGATCTTATGCATAAGGCTCAGAAGAAAGTAGGCCAGTATTCATTTCAATATTGAATCCACTGTCTCGTTAGCCTGTAAGACTGCATTGACAATCTACCCTGCCTCCAACAAAAGATTATGGACTTAGAAATCACCTTGCTAATGACCCTTTTTAGTCTCTGGGTCAGGACTTTGGAAAGGATCCTATATACACTACCAGACTAATAATAGGTAAGCCCTCTCTTAAGAAATATAAGAATCATCTAGTTTTATTAAAAAAAATGTGTTTGTTATCGCTTTTGACTGCTTCATTTGAGAAATTCCTTTCACTATTGTGGTTGAATATATTTTGGGTTGTATATTAACTATTAATGTATAGGGGTGACCATTGGTTCAATGGTAAAACCTTGGGCTAATGACCTTGAGGTTGTGGGTTCAAGTCACATGGCAACCACTTTGTGCACTATGCCAAAGGTTAGGTATGTATGTACCCAATCTTTTCCCTCCCAAACACACATTAATGTGTACTACTTGGGCGTTGTTTTTTTTATATTAACTATTAATGTATATACTCTCGGAGTTCCTTATTCCCAAAGCTTATGCGTAAAAGAAGGAAACCACAGATAAAATGATCCAAGAGATAAAATATTGTGCTTACTATAATTTCTTCCAAGAGCTTAGGGCTAATTAGATACTTTTTCTTATCTACCATAGGTGAGGTCTATAACCTTAGATGTCAAGGTTTGGGAACCTACTATCATGGATCTATTTCAGATTTTGGGCAATGCTTATTGTAATTCAATATGGGAGGAGTTGCTGCTACTTGATAATAATAGGTATGTTTCTCAAGTTAAATGTTGTGTTGAAGTATACGTGGTTAAGTTTATGTATCTTTCAAGCATATTTTATATAGTTTTTCATCATGATTTGAATAAATTTATTATAAGCAATACTTGTCTTCAAACTTCTTTGAATTTTAGCTGTGTTTGTCATGGATCTCATAATATTGGCATCAAGTTTCCTTGTATATGGTGCTTCATAAATTTACATGATAAACAAATGAAAAACAAGAGAATTTTGTAGTGCAGTCAAATTAGTCATTTATAAATTTGATTCCATTCTTCCCCTTTAGATGTCCTACTGTTGTGCATTTGATCTGTGAACTGTTAGCAGATAGCAACTTCATGACTTTTTGTGAATATTTTATGATGGTGATGTAAAATTTTATTATGCCATTGCTTGACCTTACCAAGATTATCATTGCCTTCAGACAATGGGTGGCTGCTCTGCCTTGCGCACAGCAGTCACTGTTGTTCGCCCAATGGAGCTCATTCCCAGTCTCATTTTGATGATCCGAGCCGTTTACTTTTTAGAGCACATCAAGTAGATTATTTGTGTAAAAAATCATGTTGATTCAAATATCAGTAAAACTTTCATCAAATTACATTTGTATCTAAAAAAATGAATGGTAAGTGTGATCTAAAGTATAAAATTGAATACAAATGTTATTTAGTGAAAAGGCTACCGGTATCTAATAAACTTGATTTTTTCTAGGTAAATTCTACTTAATGTACCCTAAAAAATGAACGATTTGGATTATCAAAGTAGGACCCGTAATGGCCCAATTGAGCGCACAACAATGACTGTTGTGCGCAAGGTAATGCCCGTAGGTTTCATTTGGTCAAGGATTAAGCTTGGAATTTTACCTTGGGACTTTAGGCTTCATCCTCTCATGGATTAAATTGTTGATTTCATGAAAACAAGATCTCAAAATTGTCTCTCATATATTTCAGTGAAAACGGTACATACAAAATAATATGTATATAGAGGTTGTTGGACATCACTGTTACACATGGATTTAGGACTCCAAAATAACAAGTTTCAAATTGTGATATTATGGACATTCTAAAGCCTATAAGACCACATGCAATAACCCAATATTATAACCCATTATCATTACCCAAAGTATGATTTGTGGAGACACTTCTAAAATGCACAAAAAATTTAGATACTACTGATATTTGGTCAACAATTGATTGAGAACTCAAGCTTTAACAAGCTTGTGCTGAATGGATAATATGTTTTTCTACTTTAATTTTCATGACTAGCTTCTAGTTTTCGTTTGATGTTGTCAACCATTTGTAGCTTTAAAGTTGTCTTTTGTTTATTTAAAAAGAAACACATTCCGCTTTTTGATTCCCATTGAATGAAATAATCTTATGCAGAACAAATGAATCAAATGCTTTCTTATCTGTTACAAAACCAAGCCCCAAAGATGCTATTCACCAAAAGGAGAAATACATTCATGCGAAGGTATATCTTTACTGGTGTTGTGTATGTCTGGAAATGTTTACTCCTCTGCTCAGACAAATGCTTTTCATTATATTTGAAGAAAAGAATATCTAATTACTTTTCTGCAAGATCTTTGGAAGCAACAATTGTTTGCTTTATTAATATATACTCTGTGGAGATTGCAGTTGTATGATTGCCTATTGTTCTTTTCCACAATAATATTCATGCCTGCTAAATATATGTTGTACTTGAAGCTGCCTTTATGCTATGGATATTTCACATCCAACCTCTTAATAGTCCTCTCATCTGTGAAGCACCAACACCTGATATGAGACCATGTATCAGTGTCCTACACATCGTGGGACACATGCGGACATGTTGCCAACGCGTGTCTGACAAGCAAACAAGAGTATTTGATTTTTTTTTCTTTTTTAAATTCCATACTCACAATGGACACGACTGAACACATTGCATTTCTCTTTTCTTGTCGTGAATAGCATTCATGGATAACATATTTCCATGTTATTTCACTTTTTATGAAGTTGATGTAATTATTGGTATGCCAAATTACTCTCATCATAAGCTCTTAGTTCTACTTCTACATGTATATCTTGGAACTCTGTCATATATGCAGTTTTCTCTTGTCATTGTTTTTGTTTCTTTTTAAGACCAATAAAGAACTTAGTCCTAATCATTTGATCAAGTATTATATTAAAATCTATTTTTCCACCAGTGTTTAGAATCTTTCACTATATAGTCAAAATAGGCTCTAATGTTGGAAATACTATTGTTTAAGCAAAAAGACATGCTAATACACGAGCTTCTACCATTGACCACGACGAGATTTTATATTTTGAAATCGTTGCATAATAAGCTCATTATCAACACTATCAAATACATCTTTCTCAATATATGTAACCAAACAATCATTCAACCATTGATCTCCCATTCGGTTACGCAATCGATTCTTTATGAATTTCATTGCTGAAAATGCTCTTTCCACTGTTGCAGTCGCAACTGGTAAAATCAACGCCAATTTCACAAGCAAATAGACTAATGGATATACAATATCTTTCTTTGTCTCTACCAACTTTCTAGTAAGGTCACCAATTCCTTTGAGTTCGGAAAATTTATTGCTAGAGCGCATGTCAACAATGTAGTTTTGAAGTTGATTATCAAGTGCCATGAGATCTACCGCAGAAAAATCAGATGGATAGAATTCAGCAAGATAGATTAACTTTTGCTTATCAAAAGCACAAGATGAATTATTGGGGTTCAAGCATGCCACGCATAGAAGCAACTTTGTACTTGCCTCTGTAAACCGGTTTTTAAGCTCTTGAAGTTGCATATCTATAACAATGTAGAAGATCTCAACGCGGTAGTGGTATAAATTTGTGATTTCAGGAGCTTTGCGGCGTAACCTCCCATGAGCTACAAATCTATCATCAATGTTAGGAATAGGAATATCATGTTCGCTGCAAATTAAGTACACTTCTTCCAATAGGGATTCCCATTCATCATCTCTCATCATTTGCAATCGTTGCTTAGACACTTTAACTAATGTCATTGCATTTACAATATCTTGATCTGTAGAAATTTAATGTATAAAGAGAAATAGAGAATTGTATTATTGATTGATTTATATTGATATCTATTACAATGATTCATGATTCCTATATATAGAAGAGGGTGAGTGTGTAGTAGGTAAGGAGTAGGTGAAGTGGAGGTGATAGTGGTGTAGTGGGTTAGGTTTAGTGGAGTAGGTGAGGTGGTAGTGGTGTAGTGGGTTAGGTTTAGTGGAGTAGGTTTAAGTGGGTGAAGTAGGTGGAGAGTAGGTGGATTTTAACATGATCTTTTCTTTGTATTGCTAATGACAACTCATGTGTGATCCCTAATATATTTTTCATCAAGTGTAAAGTGAAGACAAATTCAAAAGATTGTATTGAATCCATAAGAGAACGAGCTTCAACTCTTCGCTCGGCATGTAAACCATCCTCTTTAACAACCTCAAGCACATCAATAACAGATGGGAACATCAAAATCAAGTTTATAATTGTTCCATAATGTGATCCCCAACGTGTATCACCAGCCCTTTTAAGATTAGTTTCTTGATTCAAACCTTGCCCACTTAAGAGTTCACCATTGTTCAATGCTTCAGCAACTTTAGTAGCTTGTGCCTCACGAAGAATATCCCGTCTCTTACAAGACCCTCCAACAACATTCACCAAATTGGAAACCAAGCAAAAAACTTCAGCAACATCAATGTGATTTTTAGCAACAGCAATAAGAGTCAACTGAAGTTGATGAGCAAAACAATGAACATAATACGCTGATTTATTCTCCCTCAGAATTAAAGTTTTAAGACCATTGAATGCACCTTGCATATTAGAAGCTCCATCATAACCTTGCCCACGTATTCTTGCTAAGCTCAATCCATGCCTAGAAAACAAAGACCCAATTGCCGCCTTAAGTGATAAAGCTGTGGTATCTGCTACATGTACAATACCAAGAAACCACTCTGTAACAATACCCCTTTTATCTACATAACGCAGAACAACAGCCATTTGTTCTTTGATCGACACGTCACGAGATTCATCGACTAATATTGAAAAATACTCATTGCCAAGATCCTGGATGATAGCATTGGTAGTTTCACTTGCTGCAGCATTGGCAATATCTTTTTGAATATTAGGATGACATAACTTGTTATTTTTTGGAGTATTCTTCAACACAACTTCATTGATAGATTCAATGTGATCAGAAATTTCCTTTACTACTTGAATCATTAGATTCATCATGACCACAAAACACTAAACCTTGTCGCAAAAGAAACCTTATGCAATCAACTGATGCATTCAAACGAGTTCGATATTCAATCTTTACTTGTTCAGATTGCTTAGAAAAAGCACTTTCAATGTGTTGCTTTTGTTTCATAAGAGCCTCACACTTCTTCACAGCTTGATTATGAGCACTATTAAGACCCCCAACGTGAATTCATAGCCTTTCTTTCTTGTTCCAAGTTGTGAACCCTCCCGCCACAAAAGTGTCACCACCCGCTTGTTTACCGGTATCAGGTCTAAATAAATAACAACATAAGCAAAATACAGCATCCTTTTCTATGCTATATTCCAACCAATTCTTGTTTTCTTTAAACCAAGCAGGATTAAACCGACGCATGACTCCACTAATGTCTCTTTGAGGAAAATTGTGGTCAAGAGTTTGACAAGGACCCTTTTGTAAATATGCTCTTCTGATTTCATCTTGGTTGTTAGGATGATAAGAAGAAATTTTTTGTCGTAGCCCTGGGTCAGATGGAAGATTGTTCACATCTACATGACTTTGCTTAGAATAAGTTTCTTCTGTAGGAGATGAATCTTCTACTACTGTTGATTTTCTTTTAAGAAATTTGTCCATAGCGGTAAAACTAATTGGCAAATAAAAATAAAGAAAAACATTGTAAAACATACCACCAAATCAACCACTCATAAATCAATTACAGTGCAACGTAACATCTCTAACAAAGCATACCAAGCATTGAAGCATCATATGCATAATAATACATTTACAAATTATAAACAAATAGTGAGCCAAAAAACAAAACTAAAGGGGAAAAAAAAAAACCCTAATTTTTAGCCCCAATATAAGGGGGAAGTTAAACAATATTGATGTTTTAACAAAACATATACAAACAAAATATACATAATATATTTACAAACAAGACAATTATTGAACAAAAAAAAAGCCCTAATTTTTACCCCAAAAATTGTTTCTATCCAAAATACTATAAAATGGAGAAATGATTTTACAAAATTTACCTAATAACTGAGTAGAGTAGTTGATGTCGTTGTTGGAAAATATTGATGAAAACAGAGAGATGTGGAGAGTGATGAAGAACGAGAGAGAGCTTGGAGTTTCTCTAAGCCATCTGCCGCCTTGCCTGAAGCTTGAAATGAAAAGAGATGGCATTGGCAAGGATAGTCTGACTTCCAATGCAAGATACAAACAACCACTTTACAAATAAAATATATTAAACAAAAAGTAAACAAAAGATTGATGCACCTTGACGTCAGGTCTCCAATTTCCAAAGCAAGAATACAAACTATCACTTTACAAATAAAATATTTTAAACAAAAAGTAGACCCAAAAAAAAAATATGACTTTACAAATAAAATATTTTAAACAAAAAATAGGTAAAAGTTAAAAAAGTGAACTTTTTTCATTGGTGGGTTCAAAAGAGTAGGACTTAAAATTATGGCTTCAAAATTGTATTTTAGTGGGTTCAATTACTAATTTTTTTCCTAAAACCTAATATTTATATAATAAATAAATAAAAAAATTCAACCAGGGGGTTCGGGTGACACCACTGACCAAGCCTTGGAGCCGCCCCTGTATATCTTGGAACTCTGTCATATATGTTGTTTTCTCTTGTCATTGTTTTTGTTTCTTTTTAAGACCAATAAAGAACTTAGTCCTAATCATTTGATCGAGTATTATATTAAAATCTATTTTTTCACCAGTGTTTAGAATCTTTCACTATATAGTCAAAATAGGCTCTAATGTTGGAAATAAGGCCTAACTTTGATTGTGCAAATCCAGTATGTAGAGAAACTGCTAGTCAATAAAGCAGCAAATCTATCTAGCATTCCTTCTCAAGCTGCCTACATCTGGGAAGCTGTTAAGACTAATAACTTGAGGGAAGTGTATCGCCTAATTGTGACATCAAGTGAAAATATTATCAACACTACTTATGATGAAGTGTTTGATGTCAATTTGTATCACCATGTTGATGAAGAAGATCCTCAAATAGGCTTCCATGCGGTGCAAAAGAAACAAAATGATCCAGTGGTCTGTCAGAAAATTAAGGATTCTGCCAAGCCTGAAAATTGTCTTCAAGGATGTTCATTATTGCATCTAGCATGTCATCGTGGCAATCCAGTGATGCTTGAGCTGTTGCTGCAGTTTGGTGCAGATATGAACAGGTGTGACTACCATGGAAGAACTCCGTTGCATCATTGCATTGCCAAAAGAAACAACCAATTGGCCAAGTTTCTACTTAAAAGGTAATATCTTTCATCAGTGAAGGCCCATTTGTGTGGAACATAAAACTTTGTCTGTTTTCTTGGTGAAGGATAGATCTGATTAGTTATTATATCCATTGTACTACCAAAAACATCTCCCAGCTTAAATGACAGGTGATATGATCCTTGTGTTTTTTTTCCTCACACTTTTTGGGATACAAAAATTGTTTGCATCGAATAGACCAAAAATACAAAAATAAAAATAAATAAGAAAAAAAATAAAGAAACAAAGAACAAAGAAAAGGTGGCTTTGATTTTTTATGATGACCCTTTGCTTTTCATGGTTGGGATCATCCTTGGGCAAACACTGATGATAGCAGTCCCAAGCCTAGTGATCAAAAAATAGAAATTAGATACCTCTCAAAATAGTGTACCATGGATACCTCACTTTGTTAATGTCCACTAAACCAACAAAAGAGCCTTGAAACATTAATAATTTGCTAATTGATAGTAAATTGATGACTCAGGGGTTTTCATGTTATAGTTGGTGTAAAGTCTGGTTTATAACTGTTGGCTATTGGATTCTTTTTGTGGACATTATATATATTTGCACTGGTAGTTTGGTTAAGGATCAAATTTTTAGACTTTTTTTCGTTTAGTTTTCAAATCAAAAACCCTGGGTTAACAGGTGATGCCTTCTAGAAAGAAAAATTGCCACATGGATCTTCTGTTTCTGCATCACATGTTTAAAGTTTTAGCAAGGGTGTTTTGGTGGGAACAGTGAGGTCCTCATCATCTATATATTACAAGGCTACTGTTGGTACTGTAGAAAGTTTGCCACACCTCCCAACTCTTGGTGTAAAGATGTTTGCCATTTTTTCTGTTCTCTTATAATCCTAATCCTTTTGGATCTTAGAATGCCTATTTATAGTTGAATTGGCAGTATTTGTCTATGGAGTCTTGTGAAATGTTTATTGTTCAAGTAGTTGTACGACATTTTCAAATCTCATTCTTAGTGGTGTTCATAGAAGTTGTTTTGGTAAATTTTGAAGAAATATTATACATCTCTCATGAAATTCCATCCGTGTCATACAATTGGGTCATTAAAAGTTAAGGTTGTCTCCATTTAAATGCCTTTGGTATTTAGCAGATCAACTCTTGAAAGATCCCTCACTGCATACTTTCTATTTTTCTGTCTCTATCCAATTGCCCTTGTGATATTTAATTGTTTTGGTGTCTGTTTGATACTCTTAAGGAGACTCTATTTAATTACCAAAAAAAAAAACCAGAGTATGGCCCTTGTAACATAACAAATTCTGAATTTTTAATTTTGTAAAATCATTAAGTAAAATCAATGGAAAATTTGTGTTATAGTCATTAAACTAAACGTAGGTGTACATAAAATGTCTAAAATATCATTTTTCATTGAGTTTAATGACTAAAACACTATTTTTTCGTTGATTTTACTTAATGAAATTAGGCAAATGGTTTAGATTGAAAACAAATCAAAAGATTAAGACTTAAATTGACAAAATTAAAAACTCAAGGTTTATTTTGTTATGAGGGCCATACTCAGTTTTTTTTTTTTGTAATTACCCCTAAATTTTATTAAGGTGTTTCCCTTTCAAAATATTTTGCACATTACGTGGTGGTTTTTTTTCTCTTGGTTGTGACTATTGTTTGGAAGTTGTATATGTTAGATTTTGGGTGTTTGACCCCTACTTTCATATTCTCCTTCATAATGTTTTGATTCTTATGTTATGAACCTATGGCTGCATTAGTAGGGACTAGGTACCTGTTCCTTTCCTTCTTTGACATTTTTTTTCATGCCCTAACATGGATATTATTCAGAGGCGCACGTCCATCAATTAAAGATGGTGGGGGCCTAAGTGTGCTCGAAAGGGTTATGGAGATGGGAGCAATAACAGACGAGGAGCTCTTCCTCTTGCTTGCTGAGTGCAAGTAGAAGAGATAAGAACTGCTCGAGTGTGTAAGTCTATTCGATTCACTCATTCCTAATAATTTTAGCCACCCTTTTCATTTGGATGTTTTCATTTATGGAACTTGATATTTCTATATGATGACCTCTTTTTTTATTGCCCGTGATATCATGAGCTTAAAACATTCGTGTTATTGATGACTACTGGTTTAATATTTCGTGCCTTTGTTTTTCATGTTTTGTATGGCTTGTACTTTCTTCTGATATAACAATTGTGGTACTTCAGTCATCCCTATACAAAAATAAATAAATAAAATGATAGTTTTTTACAAATTTTTAGGGGGTTGCCAGATTAAATTTGGGGGGCCATTACACGGGGTAGGAAAAAAAATTACAAATAGCACATAAAAGTTTGCAAAACATTGGTGGGGCCATCTAAAAAATTAAATGTTCTTCTTTGCCTTTATAATTTTCTTGTACACTTAATTTATTTTTATTTTTTTTTTATTTCCAGATGTTATCATACGGTGCCTTTATGATGTCATTTTTAGTATGATTTGCAGTTGAGCTTTTCACCTCCCGTCTTTCGTTTGTGTGCTGCGCATTGGAGCGAACTGCAAAGATGTGCATCAAAATTCATTCTATTCCGATCCTCTCAACAAGTAAAGGAAGGTTACGGACTTTAGCCCTACTTCAGAGAGACAATTGTTAAAGTTAGCTCTAATTTCTGTTTTCGTGGTAATGGAAGTCCGACCATGGCTGCAGGGACTCTCTTCTGCTAGCTAAAACGTGTTTTAATTATATAATATATTTACTGTGTTCTTCAAATGACTTCTTTTTTTGTTGGATTTGAATGTTGTGTTTGTGATATTGAAATCTTGATAGTGATGTGGTTCCCAATTGCGCAGCTATGGAAATGGAATGGAAATCCTGATCTGATGGAAATTATATATAGTTGTTTCCAAAAATTATTTTTATTATTTTATTATTATTATTGAACACATGGTGGTGGTTGTGGTTGTGGTTGTGTGGGTGATAAGTTATGCATACATGCAGCATACTACAAATATCATCCACATCATTTTGGCTTTACTGCGTCTGGTTTTTCATATTAGTAGTATTGGAAATTGGTGGATTCAAATTATTCGGTCTATGAAGTCCAAACAATATTGATATATAGCTTATTTTTACGGCTTCACCTACAATTTTTGTATTAGAAATATTAGAGATTTGCGGCATTAGGGTGAAATTTCTCAATTTGGGGTTAAAATTTCTCTGTTTTGTTGAAATTAAGAAATTTCTCCATTTTGAAATTTATGGGTGCATATGCATATATACACGCTCGCGTGTGCGCACACGCACATGTATATATATATAATGTTGAATAGAGGTTCAAGGGCTTTTCTGTCAATTTCTAGTATAGATTTTTGAATTTTTATCATCCATAATGATCTCTTCTTTTACTATTGTGGGTGTTTCTTTTTCAACTCTGTCTTCTGGCGGTGAGCAATGCTCAAGAAGGCAGTGACAAAGTTTGGGTAGCGGCGGTAGGAACAATGGCGGGTTTGGGCTATAGTTTGATCTAGATCTTGTTTTTCTATGAGAAAAATGGAGATTTTTTAGAATTGCAACTAGTTTTTTGATGACTTTTATAGTTTGTAATTTGTGTAGAGCATGTCTCTTTAGGTGATTTTCGGCGAAGTTTCGGTGACTTGCAGCGAATTTTTTTCTACTTTCAAAATGTAGATCTACGCTCCTAGAGTATAGATCTATCATTTTCGAGTGTAGATCTAGGCCTTTTATGTCTGAAATACAAGTTTTGAGAGTTTTCTCCTCTAATTTTGACACAGATTTTTGATATTTCGACACCCACAATGGTTCCCTCCTCTCTACACTATTTTCCCATACCATTGTAAGTGTCCTCTCTTCTCCGACGACAATGGCGGCGGCGTTGGGTAGCAGCAACGGGGATGTTGTCGACAGGGACGGCAGGCTTTTTTCCTGACCACATCTTTGAAAAGATCGGTGGCTTTCCTTGGATCGTAATTGTTTTTTTGGCGGATTCGTTTTTGTTTTTGTTGTTGTTGTGTTTTTTTTTTTTTTTCTTTTATAGTTTGGTTGGGATGACCCTTTGGTCTTATTTCTGTACTCTTGGGATATGTTTGATTGGAAGGATTAAAGTATGGGATTGGAATTATTAATCCGTGGGCCCAATCATCCTATATTTGTTTTGACATTTTGGTTTAGGATTATTAATCTAATGCATAGTTAATCCAACAAATTTGTAGGATTATTAGTAATGGGGTAGGGGTGGGATAGTTAATACCACACTAATTTGATAGGATTATTAATACCTCACTATTAGATGTTGTGATCAAACATGGCCTTGATGCCTTATCAATATATTGTTTTTATGTCCTCAAAAAAAAAAAAAAAAAAATTGTGTAGAGCACCTCATTTGGTCCTTTGACGTTTGTTATTTTTCTTCTTGTTTTGTGTAATGTTTACTTTTTCAATATAGTTGTACTATAATTTTTCTTTAAAAAAAAAAAAAAAAGAAAGAAACTTATTAGATTAAATTCGAATTCTTTTAAAATTGTCAAATGACTCAAAATGAGACTTGGCATCAAATTCTATTTAGAAAGTGTGAAAAAGGTCTTTCAGCATGAATGAAAAATGAAGCTAGTTGCCAAGGCCTTGTTTGTTGACATTTTTATTTTTATTTTTGTTTTTGTTTTTGCTTTTGCTTTTGCTTTCATGTTTTATATAAACTGAAAAACAAAAACGTGATTGGTAAACATTCATTTATACACTCATTTCTACAGCCCCATTTGGTGTAGTTGTGAGAATGTGATTCTAGATTATGATTATAACTTTAAATATAAATTGCTAACATGTTTGGTGTAAGTATGAGATTATAGATTTAATCAGTAGAGTAGTGTTTGGTTAAATAAGTTGTAAACTAATTTTTTGTTGTGTAATGTCCTTTTTGTCTTTATAAGATATAAAATTTGTGATTTTATTTACAATACTTCTTTTTTTTCTCCCTTTTTCTGCATTTTATTTTATTTTCTTTTCTTTTCTTTTTCCCCTCGTTTTCTTTTCTCTCTTCTTTCTTTTTCTTTTCTCTTCTGTCTTTTTTTTTTCTACTCTTCTTTTCTCTTCTTTCTTTGTTAATTTTGTGTAATTTATTAATTCATTATAATTCATATCAATTAATATTCATATATTTATATTAATGTTGTGATTTTATTAATACCAATTAGCAACAATTGTTAATTTTCCATTTTCTTCAATTTTAATTTTAAAAAAATTGTGATTCTTTTTTATTAATTTTTTTTACATTAGAATACCAATTAATAATATAAAATTTGGTTTTTTTTTTTTAATTTATTGATTCATTACAAATATACCAATTTTATTAATTTATCAAATTTTTTTTAACAAACCCTAGCTACCGCTGTCGGTGGCTAGGGTTCACATCGCAGATCATGATCGCGATGGCAGTGGGATGAGGATCGCGATGGTTTGGAGATCGCGGATGCGATGGTGAGCTCTGGTTCATCACCATCAGGCTATCTCGCAACGTCGACAAGAGCACGAAAAGTCGATCATCACGTCGTTGATGGCGGTAGTTAGGGTTAGGGTTGTCAATCGCGATGCTAGGGCTTTGCCCCTCTAGTTCGTGAGGGAAAAAGAGAGAGATAAAGAGAGAACAACTTGAAATCCTAGCCAGAAATCGCAGACACGACACAACGCCAGAGATAGAGAGTGCTCTAGTTCACTGGAAAAGAGAGCTTTTGTTCATTATCAATCGCGATGGGAGATGGGGGGACGACGACGAAGGAGATGAACAGAGAGAGGAGAGGGTTTCTTGATCATAAACGAAGATAGGAGAGCCTCATCGGAAATCGCCGATCACCTGCCGAAAATCGCCCCTCTCTCTGAGTCTCAGTGAACAGTAAAGAGAAGATTAGGGTTAAATATATATATATATATATATATATAGTGGTATAAGAGTAAATACCTTCAAATGCTAAGGATATTTAAGTAATTTTGAAGCCCCCTCCGCATAACCTTTTTTTATTTTGCAAAAAAAAAAATATATATATGATTAAAATATAAATTATCCCATGTAGTTCTAAAAATTATATTTCATCCTCTTAAATTTCTAATTTCATAACAAATCGTCAATCTTATTAATAAATTATCAAATTAATTAACAATTTTTAATATGTTAGAAATATGTTTCAATTAACAATTTAAGTAATTTTATTATTTTATAGGAGAATAATTATAAATTTTATTTTTTTAATTAATTTTGTTAAATAAATTTTTTCAACAAAGAAATATTTATAATCTTTTAAACTATAAAAGATAATTTATACTTTAAATAAACCTCACAATGTTTATATATAATTTACCCAAAAAAATATTTCTACGGGATTTTCTTGTTGTTCTGACATAGTTGTATAGTGATCATATATGCCTAATTTATTTAAGTTATACTTGTATTATGTTAATTTTTAAACTTGGCTTTGATACCATATAAGGTGCTCACTAAAGGTCAAGGCTAGCACGTCTGTCAACGACTTACGGGCATCAAACGGTCAACCGCACTCACTGCTAAACGACCTAATCCCTACGCGACTTGGGTGACGTCCCACTAATCCTAAACCATTAATTAACCTACACAAGCACAAACCCAAGAATAAATACCATCATAATACATGTATAAAGGAAATAAATTATAACATATATGATCCCATTACCTTACTGTTGAGGTGGTGGAGGCCTCCTGGCCGCCCACGCACAGATCTGTTCATTGATCAGCACCTGCAATTCTGCTATCCGCTGGTTACACTCAGCTAGTCGTTCGGCTATGTACTGTTGTGTGTAGAAATCTACTGGTGTATTAAGGTAGTAATTTTTCTGGTGTTGCCAAAACTCTAAATATGTTAATAATTGTTCTAAGGCATTAACAGAGGGCATACATTAAAAAAAACATTTTATTGAAGAAGTACAAATATTTTACACAGAGGGAGGTTGGAAGAGATATTACAAACGAGGGAGAGAGATTACAAAAGAAGACGTTAAAACTAATTCTAAGCCTGCTCTCAACAAGGGTGAGGAGATCCCTTTTATAGAACAAAGAAGATAAAACCAAACTGACAGGTGGAAAGCTTTAAGAGGACCGACAGATTTCCGCCTTATCTTCTTATCTTCATCTTTTTCGGTGCGGGGAGCATTATTATTATTCTCCTTTTACTGTAGAATTTTGACTGGAACGAATCTTTGCTTTTTCAAAAGCTTTTTGTCTGTTATGCCGACGCTTACTCAGCAGGGCCCTTGCCTTTACTGTTTTTGTCTTTGGACATCTTATCCGCGATTATGGCTGTTAAAGAATCCCAAAAATCTCCAAGGTGGGGTTCATCTTCTGGATCCTGCGATTCTCCAGCAAGCACATGTTCGGTTGGATCGCTTTCGGGTTCTGATGGAGTCTGACTGGTTCCTGACCTCATAGAGACGTCATCTTCATGGCCAACAGATTGCAGAAATTGATCCTTGAGATAATCCATGCTTTTGATGATCAATTCACTATCTGACAGCTGTGGATACTTCTGTTTTAATTCCTTCTGGATTTGCAGAAAAGGATTAGTAACTGGAGAAGGAGCCGGAAGGGCTGGCTGCTTGACTGAATCCCAACAAGCTTGGGTATGCTGATGAATTTTCTGAATAAGATCTTTAATATCCATCTTATCCCACCATTTGACGAAAAAGATTCTTTTTAGTCTAGGGACTTTATTTTGATAATCGCAAGCGAAGTCCCACTTCCATATCCAGGGGATGCTAAAACGGATACTGAAGTGAACTACAGATTTACTGATGGATAAGTCTCTGTTTTTATTTAAAAATGAATATGCACGGGAATAAGCCACATGCCATTCAT